GAATTGTGGCCACCTCAGTGAAATTGGTCTTGGCTACCAAGTGGTTTAGTTCCTTCTGTTGGGCAAGAAGAAGCAGTATTATCATGGTGTCAGGGCACTGCTGCATCCTTTGGTAGGTAGGTTAAGTTTTCTGCTGCACCAGACAACTCTTGATATCTGGGTTTCAGCCAGATGGACAGCATGGACAAACCTTCAGAATAGGAAGCTTCAAGTGGTAGGTTAAGCTTCAGTGTGTCAGTGATTCAGTCAGTATATAGATGATGTCTGTTTATTCTGTGGTGTTATTTCCCTCCTTCTGTCAACATCTCATCTGTCTGTCCTGTGACCTAGTTCTTTATTCTTAGTAGCAGAAGTTTAAACTTTTTCTTCTGCCCTTCTTGCATGCTGTCCTATTTCAGAGTAGGACTTTTTTTCTGTAGATCAGAGCAACCTTTCAAGCTAGCAGCACTTTTATCCCTGTTCTTCTCAACTTCTTCTCTGTGTAGTTTTTTCTGAGCCGTCTCTCCCCTTTTTGTGTCTTTTTCTCCTGTGGCTTGCCCATCCACCCTCCCTGATTGTGTAACAGTGACAGCTTGCTGCCTCAAAACAGAGCATTCAAATGAATTCGCTTAGCCAATAACTTCTGTGAAGTTGCCTTTTCTAATGGTGTTATTACTCAGTGATGCACAAATGTGATATTGCCCCTACTGGTAGGCAAACAGGGGATCTGTATAAACATGGTAAACTGCTGTTTTTCTTTAAAGGAGAGCCAAAGACTTGTGCTTTACACTTTTTTTCCCCTGGTGTAGCCATTTTGATTGTCAGACATTTGTGTAGGGTATTGTGAGTTGGCTGTATTATCCTAATAACAATTTCCAGAAGTTAATGATTGTCAAGCCTTGCCCATGATTGAATTGTGGAAAATCATTCCATTTAGTCATACAATTTGCAATGTACTGAGATATATCTGAGGTGTTGTGATGTGTTTTCAGTCTCTCATGCACTCTCTCAGCTGACTGAATGGCTCATTTAGAGAGGGAGAAGGAAGAAAGAAATGTTATAATCCAAGAAGCCTTGTTTTTAAGTGTTTCTAAATTGAATACTGATTGAAAATTTCTTCAGTTACAGTAAAAGATAAATCTGTGTTACAAATGTGACTGACTTTTAAGTCCACTGGGATGGAAAAGATTTGTGAAACACTAGCATTGCATTAAATTAGATGTGGAAGAACCAAACTTGTGATGATATTGTCTCTTGACAGCATGGAATGAGTAAGGTGGGACAAATTTTCTACTAGAAAGGGCCAGGAGTGAGGCTTTTATTGATAATACAAGAAATGCTGGCATTTCCCTTCCTTGAGCTGCTCAAACTCTCAAGACTTCTACTAAAGTTTTTAGGTTCAAAGAGAAATCTCTTGAAGTCCGAGTAGCATAAGCCCTCATTTCCACTGCCATTTATAATTTTGGACTATAACAAAGCAGACTGACAAGATAGTTATCTGAAAGACCCCCAGTATAAAGTTTCTTTCCTGGACTGGCTCTTTCAGACCTGCTTTTATGGTCCAAGAAATGCCATGCCAGTGTTCAGGAGGCTCAACAGCAGGGAGTGCCAGCCACCTTCTCTGCTCAAAAATGGGAGAAAAGACCCAAACATACACAGTGTGCAAGTTTTTGTGTTTGTATGGAGAAGTGGTTTTGGTCCTAGGATAGATAGGACACAGAGCAATGCTGCTGGGGCATGATGTTACCTTCATATACAAATTTTGTCATCATTCACTTTCCAAAACACAGCCTTCCATTCCTGCCTCCTGATGTTGCTGATGTAAAAACAACCAAAAAAAGTAGCGTGTCAGCAACTTAATTTCTTGTATCACAATAAATCAATTCCCCAAGGGAAAAAGAGAGCAAGAATTTTTGAGTTGCCTGCATGGTAATGGAGTTATGAACTGAAAAAACATCCACCTTGCTTGAGTAAGTGTAAACTGAATTTCTGAGGAAAATGAAGCAGCTTTTCTAAGCCACCTTTTGTGTAAAGCTATGGGTGGTTGTTTTACAGATTATGTAGCTCAAATTGATTTGCTCTCAATTCAAATAGACTCCTAAAATGTCAAAAACTTCATTGGGAATTTTCATTTCTACAGTGAACTGTTACCAACTGCATTATTTTCAGTTGGAGTGTCAGGGGATGACAAAGACTAAAGTTAATCCTAGTTATACAACAATATAAGAAAGGGATTTGGGGAAATGTTATCCCAGCAGTGTCCTACAGTTAACATGTGGCCTTTATTCTTCTGTAGGGAGAAGAATGTAACTGCTTAGTGTTGTCACAGTCTTCAGAGCACTTCTTGTGATGCAGGTAGAGCCTTGGTTAGCAGAGAAAGGAGAACAAACTTAACATTTATTTCCTTTATAATTTTATTTCCTATTGGCAAGTGTAATATTGTTCCATGGGAAGTGTGGCAAGCAAAGAGGCTGCAGCTTTTTCTGAAATTTCCCAATATAAAGAGCACATGGCAATGTGGATTTGTCTGCATCAGGAACATCACAGTCATTTGATACTTAAAATATGTGGCCATAATAATCAAAATTGCATTCCTGTAGCTTAGTAACGTGAGTAATTAACTGATCTTTTCCATGCAATCTTTGCTATTCCAGGGAGTTGGTGTATGATTTTTAGTGCTAATTGCAAGGTGCTCAGCAGTTGGGAGGGTTTAGGTGCCTAAGTGCATCCAGCAGGGCATCTTTCCTTGGATATACTGGTTGGATGTTTTCATATGCCAGGAATCTACTGTTTTGAAGATCTGCAAGTTTTAGGAAAACACAATTGTCCAATTTGAAAAATACAGTATTGGGAGAGACAGAAGCAAGAGGTAGTGCAGTCTCTGGAAGTAAAAAGCATTATACATAATGGAATTACATGTGAAATGTATATGGGATAAATGTATCTGTAAGAGGAAAAAAATATTATGGAGTATTTGATGCTCAAGAAATTATTTGCTTCTTCATAATGTTAAAAAGATTTCATTAATAGTTCTGTGGCAGACAGTACTCACAAGTCTTTGGCATCCAAACCAGATTGTATATCAGATGGATCCCACAACTGGATGTGTGCGCTGACCTCTTTATTTGTAGCTTTTTAAAAAGAAATTTGGCAGCAGCTTTTAATAATTGCATGAAGCAACCTGAGAGGAAGAAGCAATCCTGTTCCCATCACAGCTGCTGCACAGCTCACAATTGGTACTGTTCATCTGCAGCCTCTCGTAAGTGAAGCTGATCAATATGGGCAAAACAAATCACTTTGAGAGTTTCCCCTAATTGTAAGGAGTTCCCATTCCCCCTTTAGCCTCTGCTTGCTGTGTAAGCAGCTTCCATGCTTAAAGGATCTTTCCTTCAAGTCAGCTTAGCAGCTGTTCTGTAGCTTGGCTATTTTTTCATATTTTCTCTAATTGATAGCGTCATGTTAAGCTCTTCCCCTCCTTGTATTTGTTGCTATGGGGAGGAAGAGGTGGAGCAAGATGTGTGAGAGGAGGGAGGAAGAATTGTGGGATCTATATGACAGCTCCCACTTCTTTGAAATCATCTACTTCCAGTTGTGGGATTTCTCGATATATGATTTTTATTGTGGTTTTTGTAAGTCTAATTTTCTTTGATCTTGTTAGTTCCTTACAAGTCTCCCCGAGACATTCTGCAGTCATTATCACCTTTTTGGGTGGAGTTTATTTTATTTTTTTGGGTTGTTTGTTTTGTTTGGTTTTTAAAATAACTTTTTAACATTGGTGCATATATGCTTGGGATAGAGCTCATGTAATTATCCAATCGTATTGATTGTATGTGATTGTGCCCTGCAGAGGTATATTTAACAAAAAATGAAATAAAGGATAGTCTAGGTAATAAAGGAGACCATGAAATTTGTTGAGTCAGGTTATGAACTATTTCTTAAATTTATATAGGATCCTAGATAAATGAAATTCCATCTGCTGTTCTCATGAGTCAGTGCTAAACAAAATATCATTCATTCTCTCCTTGCGTTTTTCCTTGCTTTTCTTGTCCTTCTGCTGTTTTCTTCCTTTCCTGTTTCTCTTTCCCATAAACAAAAAATCTCAATCCATCATGGGAGTGATTGACTCTGGGTTGATAATGTGGATATTTATTGTTTGTAACTGTCAAAACATTCACAGTAGGAGTAGAGATGAAGTAGAATGTATGAGAAGAATTCCATAAATTGAATTCTTTGCAAGTTCAGAGGAATTATGAAGTTTTGTACATACAGACCTGGTCATGGGGGAGATGTTCAGAGGCACATGGGGAATTGCTGTGTCTTTTCCAGGAAAGGTTAGATGCTTTGCTACCTCTTGGGAAAAGTGAGATAACAAAAGGAGTAGAAGAAAATTCTCTATATCCAACTCCCTGTGTCTTTTCTCCTACAATATACTTTTTAGTCTTGAAGGAAAAACATTCTAGGTACTCTGCTGAAGTGGGACAGAATGCATTGAAGGAGGCAAAAAGATCCAGAGATTTGAAAATCAGTATTGGTCTTCTTTATTTAATTCTCAGACCTATAGAGCTAACGGTGTCACTTTTGTGTGAAAGAACAAGGGAGTGGAGACCTACTGTACAAGCATAGCAGTTACATAGAAAAAACATGTTGAAATGCTATTCCTTCTTCCCTCTTCACCTTGCTTTTCTCCCTCTTTCTCCCTGACTCCACCTTGCTCTCACAGAATGTCTAAGGGTCCTTTGAGCTGCAGATTGAACAAAAAAAAAGTGGAAAAGTGATTCACTATGTGGTTTGTAAATAGATGGAAGTGTCTATAAGGTCTTACCTGGTTTTCTGTCAGCATTTATATTAAGTGATAAATTAATGAAGAACACTTTGAAGTATCTCTTGTTTTCTGTCTGCGATGAATGTACATTCTTCTAAATTTTGTGTGAGGTCTAAGTCTGTTGGACCATCTGAGTAAGATTTTCACCAGCTCAAGGTGTGTGTTCTGTGCTGGGCTGGAGCATAAGAGATGCCAAATAGCAGAGAAGCCACGTGTCTCCTGGGTTTGGTCTGCTGTCTTCTAACTTCACCTGTAAACAAAGTAGGTCCTTCACCTGTTCACCAGAAGTGAACAAGAAAAGATACTCAAAATAATCAGGTTATTTTAATTGCTCAGAGTGTACATATTTTAAAAGCAAATCAGACCCTTCAGAGCAAGCATTTGTCTAACGTTGAGCCTGATTTGGAGCTTGCCTTAAAGCGAAAGTGAGTTTTGTTCCACAGTCTGCTTTGTGGTTTTTAGTCTTCTCCTTTCACACCTTTTTGTGGTCTTTAACAAGTCATTGTCTATAAATCTGAAACTGGATGAAGCTGCTGCTTCACTGAAAAACTGTTCCTTCTACTCCAGGGCAAGCAGAGCCTTCTGCCCCTCGAGTTTGTGCTCATTGCGGTTGCGTTCATTACTATCAGCTTTATTATTCTTGAGCCTGGGCACCATGGATCACGGTAAGGTGTGTTTTGCTGGGCTGAAACCCATCACTGTGCATTATTAGGCCCCCTCACACCTCCACACTCACTTGCTAGATGAGTTAAAGCATTCAGTTCCTATAAAGAAATTGTATTTAGTGGGAAATCCAGCAGAAAACTACGTTTCAGTTGGTGATGGTTTCCTTACCCTTTCTCCCACTAGTCTGAGGATTCAGGATTCTCAGGTAGTGACTCACTTCAGAAGGAAAAAAAAAAAAGAGCTGAATTCCAGTAATGGCTGGCTTTTAAAAGGAAGATCTGAAGCACTAGAGAGTCAGATCCCTCTGGAAGTGATGGATGCTCTGCATCAAGAGAGATTGGGGGAAACTTGCTGGCTTTCTTTATGTGAAAAAGAGAGGAGACCAGGCTCAAGTGGATGGTACCTGCTGTAAGTTTTTTCCCTTTTGGATATGGATAACAGGATAGAAAGAATCTTGAAAAGGCTAGCTCATGAGTTTCCTTGATCCCATCTTGCTCTGTGAGTGCAAGAGTCATTTTCCCTGTGCCTGTCCATGAAACTCAACAGTGAACACCCAAAGCAGAAAACAAAAGGTAATTTATGTTCCTCCTCACCAATCAGGTATGTTTAAGAACTGGTTCTTTCCAGCTAGGATATGTTCAGTTGTTTCTGTAACCTTCTTTCTAACTGTGAACTCCATCTCCCTGAGGACTAAAAGTGTGGGAGAGACTAAAACCAAAGCATGATGCTCCATCTGTCTTGCCACAGACTGCCAGGCTTTGGTGCTTGATGGTTTTGAGCCTCTGATCTTTGCTTTGGGTCTGGGAGCAGCAGCTCTGGGAGAAAAACAGCCCTTATATTAGAGCAAACAAGGCATCTAACAGTTTGGATTAAGACACTGGCCATCTTGGCTGCTTCCTGGATAGCTCTGCTCAGGTGCAAGTGCTGGGTTGTTGCTTGGAGCTAAACCAACCATAAATGACCATTTACATTCTGCATTCAAAAGACAGGTTTACTCAGCTGCCCTAGAATAAATGCCTTTGGAGCTCTGTGGGGTGTGCATGGTTGTTTGCTTTTGGTTTTACTGCTTTGAACTGCCTCTGAGCACTGGGTAAATGGAAACCTGTGCTTGGATGTCTGCATGGGTATGGAGCATCCCTAATCATCTGAAAACCCTGGGATTTGTGAACATATCAGTTACCTTGAAAAATTAAACCAGCAGCCACCTGAAGTAACAAGCTACAATATGTGAGTCCTTCCTGTCTCATGGAGGATATTTTTTACAGTACCCTTAAATTTATCTCCACAATCTCTGTCCCATTTAACTATGTCCCATACTGATACAGTAAAGTTTTTTACTTAACCCAAACGAGTTTAAGGGAAAATGTTCCACTCACTGGAGGCTCAGCACCTGATGAGCCAGCCTGCTCCTGGGATTTGAAATTCAGAAGGCAGTGGTGCAGGATTTGTAGAGCAGCTGCATCCTGGATCAGAAATGGTGTTCAGTCCTGTTCACTACTCTGCCTTGTGAATCTAGACAGGAGTTGGGGGAGCTGCTGTTAATCCTCAACTTTCCAGCTGTGCAAGGCAAAGATCACAGAATCACAGAATATCCTGGACTGGAAGGGACCCACCAGGATCACAGAGTCCAACTCCTGGCCCGGCACAGCCACTCCAACAATCCCACCCTCTGCCTGAAAGTGTTGTCCCAATGCTCCTGGAGCTCTGGCAGCCTTGGGGCTGTGCCCATTCCCTGGAGAGACTGTTCCAGGTGAGTGTGTTTAAAATGGGATGTACTTGAAACTGCAGAATATGAAGTGGGGCAATATGAAGTGGGGCAGTTTCTCCCAACTTGTCTGTTCAGGAAATGGGGAACAGGTGACAGGGCTTGGGACAGATGGGGGAAACATTTTGCTTAGCTACAAGATCCCAAAATTAGATCTGCAAATATCTTTATATAATTTTTACTCAAACTCTTGAAGGGTTTGAGATTTTTCTCATGGGTTAAGCAGTCCATTTTCTGTTGGTAAAAACTGAGGGCATGTGGCACTTGTGTGTGGTATGTGGTCAAACTCTCCCTTGTCAGATTGAACTTTAAAACCTTTTTCAAACTAAACATTGCCTCTTTTTTTCCTACTCTTTACTTAACCTTCAGCAGCTGGTCATCAGCCTTTGGCCTTAGCATCCTAGTCCCCTCCCACCATCCCCTGCTGCTGTCTCAGCTCTGTTTGAGAACAGAAATCCAGTGGGGAAACTGCTTTGGGCTCAAGCAAAAATTTGCATTTACCACCTAAAAGCAGAAGGCTGGAAGTACAAGGGGCAGGTAGGAGAAACAGATTGCACACATCTTTCATTGTTATTTAATTCCTTGAAACAGCTTATTTTCCCTTGGTAGGAGCCTATGAATTTTAGCTGCTGCCAGAGTGGCTTTTTGCTCTATTAGAGAGAGTCCTCCCACCCTAGGTGTCATGAAGGCTGGCACTCTAAATTGTCAGGCTTGACTTATCCCCAGCCTGCAGCAGTCATGGTGTGGAGGGCAGTTAATGAAGTCAGGAAGCCCTGAGTAATTGCTGGCTGCAAAAGAACACTGCTGGTTTGCTTTGGACTCTGGTTTTGGGGTGTGAGACAGTGGGGAAGGTTTCTCAAGAGCCTAAATTAATCTCAAAATGGTTTGAGCTATTTCACATTAGCTGGGCTGTGTAGCACAGTGTGTGAGTGCTGTGGGACATTCCCACCACTACCGGTAGCCCCAGTAGGTTCAGTAAGGGTGAGTGCTGGGGGTCTGTAAGCCCAGTTAATCATCCTGTCCTGCAGCCAGGAAGAGTGAGATGGAAATGGCGTGTGCTGGTGAGAGCCCAACCATGTTGCACAGCAGCCAAGGGGTCGGGGAGTTTCTCGATGCTTCCCCAGAGCCTTCTGATTTTGAGCTGAATCAGCAACTTATTTCTTGGCTTTCTGCACTTTTTGTTGCTTCACCCTTGTAAGAACCTTTTCTAATTTCTACATTCCCCCATGCCAGTAATCCTTTTCAGGCAGTGCTGCTGTGGGAATACTTTTGGCATCTTTCCAGGTTGACACAAGGAGTGCGTGTTGGTGCTGCAGAGGAAAAGGGAGCATTTAAAAGCTGTGGGGGGAGGAGGAGTGGGTTTTGGCCAAATGCTATGACAAAGAGCTGGTCTAAGAAACAGAAGGGGCTCTTGCCTGTAAGAGACAAGATTGGATGTGTCAGAGACTGGGTCAACCTTAATGGATGGTAAAGTAGATTTAGGGTGTTAGCATAAAGTCCTGCATCTTCCCTGAATTGAGGGAGTCAGGGCTTTACTGCAGAGTAAAAACAGGGAGTCTTTCTCATTTAATGAGGACAGGATGAGGATGGGGGTGTCCTCCCCACTCTTGTGCTTTGGCCTTTAAAAATGAGATTAGATTAGCAGCACTTTGTGTAATGACAAACACCTTGAGCTGCTTCTGGCTTGACAGAAGCAGGTGCTTCTCCTTGTACAGACAGGGTCAGGACATGGCTTTCCCTGGAGGTGAGTGGCGTGACAAGTCAGACCATGGTGAGGTTGTCCTTTCCATGGTGGGACTGGTCACAAGTGTGTCAGTGCTGCTGGAGCTGCAGGACCAAGTGTGCGTGAAGGAGGGTTGCTGCAGGCAGTGAAGGGCTCTGCTCCTGGTCCCAGGATTGCAGAACTCTGGAGTGTGTCTAGCTTGTTGCTGGCTGACTTTTCCTGTGGGGTTGAAAGGTTCGGAAGAACAGCACTTCCTGGAGTATTTTCAATTGTCTTAATTTTTTTCCTTTCTCTTGGCCTGGGTGTTGTTTTTTGGTTTTAGATTGGTTAACTTCCCTCCCTTTTTAGATTTTTTTTCTCATTTGTGGTGTTGCATCTGTCCTAAACCTATTGCAAGATGATCTCTGTGTCATTACCAGCAAGAGCTGTGGCCATGGCCTGAGCAAGTCCCTCTTGTTTTGCTGTGCTGTCACACAGCCTTGGGCTCCAGGCAGTCTTGGTGCCAGATGAGATAGTTTCTGCTTTTGCAGAGGAATTGGAGCACAGATGAAGTCATTGGCCCGGGGAGGGAGTTGTGGAAGAACCCAGAGGTCTCCTTCATCCCAGATCAGCCTTTGAGCCTGCTCCCATTTTCCTCTGGCAGGTGCTGGCCCACCAGCCCTGGAAGATCACAGACACGGAGGTCACCAGTGCTAAATGCAGGTGACTTTTAATTTAGTTTCTCAGAAGGCAATGCTTGGTAGCCATGGCAGTGAGTATGTGGAGGCAGGCAGAGACTTACCTAACTTAGACACATGTTTGAAAAAGTGCCCTGTAGCAGGCAAGACCTGGGCAGGCTGCCAGCCCCTCCCAATAGTTGTTTCCCAAACTGTTGTGGCTGTGGTGCTTGAGCTTCCTCCCATGGGGTACATAAACAAAGCAGTCATGCAAAGGGCATCTTAGAACCACAGCGTGCAGGCCCTGGGGTGGCTCATGAGGCCTTGCTGCCAGAGCTGGTGGGTAATGGGGTTTAGGAGGAAATTGTTCCCTGTGAGAGTGGGGAGGCCCTGGCACAGGGTGCCCAGAGAAGCTGTGGCTGCCCCATCCCTGGAAGTGTCCAAGGCCAGGTAGGACAGGGCTTGGAACAACCTGGGCTAATGAGGGTGTCCCTTCCTATGGCAGGGGTGCAACCAGACGATATTTAAGGTTCCTTTTAACTGAAACCATTCTGAGGTTCAGTGTGCTTTAGCAAAGGGGAAAATACAAGTTATCTTTCTCTTGCTGGAAGATTTTCAGATAACTGCCTTTGCTGGAACACAGTAATTACCATTAGCCTGCACTCTTTAGGTACCAAGGACAACCAGTTTGCATTGAGGTGGTATGAACTTTGAACAGGAATTGGTGTGATGCATCAGCTACCCCATACATGCTTATGAAGTAGGTTTTTTGGGAATTAGAGCTGCTTAGTCCATGGAGGGACCAACTTCCTTTACCTTATCATCTTTCTTCTCTGCCATAGTGTCTCCTACGTCAGTAGCTGAAAAGTACTGTAACGCTGAGGTGAGCCTTACACTGTAGCCACCTCACTGGCCAATGAGGAGGACTCAAAAGTAGAAATCATCCATTTTGGTACAAACTTGTCAGGGCTCAGCCTGCTACTTAAAAAAGAGGGGACCCAGGTCACTGAGAAAACTGGTTTCAGTGTATTGCTTCTAACAGTATTGTGTGCTCACAGGAAAGTTTGTCCTCCTCCTGTCTGTCTGTCCTCATTTACCCTAGAGGTGCAGGGCAAAATGATGACAGGAGGGGACTGTGGGGCTGCTGTCACTGTGCTGCTGGCTGGAAGGGGCCAGGGGCCGTGGCAGCAGCCAGGTTTCACAGACAGGCCGTGTGTCTAAGCTCTCTCTCTGGTTCCAGGACAATGCATCTGTTCCTGCTGTGCCTGCTCAGTGTCTGGGGGCTGGCTGCCCCGGAGCACTACGCCGTGGAAGACATCTGCACCGCAAAGCCCCGCGACATCCGCGTGAACCCCATCTGCATCTATCGCAACCCTGAGAAGAAGCCCCAGGATGGGGAGGGACAGGAGCCAGCAAAGGACAAGCTCCCGGAGTCCACCAACCCCAGGGTCTGGGAGCTGTCAAAAGCCAACTCTCGGTTTGCTGTCATCTTCTACAAGTACCTGGCTGACTCCAAGGACAACGGGGAAAATATCTTCATGTCACCCCTCAGCATTTCCACAGCCTTCGCCATGACCAAGCTCGGAGCTTGTGGCAGCACCCTCCAGCAGCTCATGGAGGTTGGTGGAGATTCCTCAGCCTTTTCCTGTAGCAGGTCTGAAAGACAGGAAAGGTGATCATGGCTAATGGCTGTTCTCAGGGTCTCAGGATTTGTCTTGGGGAGGAAATCCCAAGTTGGAAGGACCTTAAAATTCATCTTGTTCCACCCTCTGCCGTGGGTGGGGACACCTTCCACCAGAACAGGTTGCTCCAAGCCCTGTTTCTGGATTTGTTTAGATCCCAGCTCTTTCCCTTTACTCCCTATTTGGATCCAGCATTCCTGGGTTTGAGAGGTTAGTTTTTATCTGGAGGAAAGGATTGCCATTTGGAAAGTGAGGGAAGGGAATGGCAACAGTTTGCTTCTTGCAGATTGAGCTAAGCTTTTCCTTATGTAAAAAGCAGGAAAAGACATGGTATCAAGTCCCGCTGGCAGAGGAACTTTGTCACATTCCTTCTCTTTCCCTTGGGACAAAAATCAGACACACGGGAGACCTTGCAGACCACCTGACTTCCAGGGCAGGGGAGCCCGTATATGGGGAGCATCTCCCTCTACCTGTTAGCCCTATATTCAGGGGATAGTTCTGATCCCAGAGTAAGAGGTAGCTTAAGTTCTGATCCCAGACTAAGAAGTAACTAGAGTTCTGGCTCTTCCATGCAGCTAATTTAACTCCCTGCCTGTCCTAGCACCCTTCTCAATGTCAGACCCACTCACCTGCTATGTGGGGTTTGATGCTGCCCATACCTTTTTCTCCAATGGGAGACCTCAGCCCAGAGGAGCCTTTCTCCCTGCAATGAGGAGGTGTGGATCGAACCTTTCTGTTGCTTTTTGTCCTTACAAATCCTACCTCTGGAACAAATGATGTTGGTGGTCTCCTTTCATTATCCATACAGCCTGAGTGGAGCAGCTATAACCACATCTTCAAAATCTTCACTTGTGTGCTCCCCTCTGGGCAGCCCTTCCCACTGGAAGGGGAACCTTCTCCATTCAGCCACCCACACTTGCACTCCTAACTCCCCTTTTCCCTATGAAATGGCTGGGAACACCAGGAATGCTTTACAGGAAACAGTGTCAAAGGAGGTTCATAAAGAGAAATGTGCTGTGGGATTTTCTGTGCTTTAAAGACCTGAGGTTGGATAGCAGTAGACAAATCATAATTGTCCTTCCAGCTGGCAGCTGGGAACAGATTAAAAAATTCCCTGTGCTGCAAAAATCTACCCTCAAAATGATTGTTACATATTCCCATTCCCTGTAAAAATAGATAAGATGTACCAGAAGTACTCAACAGGCCATGAGAATTCCTCCTGGGAAAGAGCAGCCTTTAGCATTTTCACAGGAGGGTTTAGCACATGCGAGTCCTCCCATGACCTGACATGACCCAAGAGCTGCTTCTAGGCCCTGTGGGTGCAGTGCTCATCTCTGTGTGGTAAGGGGTTATGAACACCACGTTAATTTTAACAGCACTTAAAGGTCTTGGGCTGGTGATGTGTTGATTTTACATAAATTTGGGTTCCCACACATGGAGGGTGAAGCTCTGAGGGCCTGCAGATTTGTTGCTGTTGAGGCTGAGGCTGCACCACCATTTCCTCTGGGGCCCAGGAGCACAAGAGCCTTCTCACGGATTCCTTGTTGCTGTTTGGCTTGTCCAGGTCTTTCGATTTGACACCATTTCAGAGAAGACATCAGATCAGATCCATTTCTTCTTTGCCAAGCTGAACTGCCGCCTTTACAAGAAAGCAAACAAATCCTCAGAGCTGGTATCAGCCAACCGTCTCTTTGGGGAGAAATCTTTGGTCTTTAATGAGACTTACCAGAACATCAGTGAGATCGTTTATGGAGCAAAACTCTGGCCCTTGAACTTCAAAGTGAGTTTGACCTACTCAGGATTTTGCTTTTTTTGTTTGGTTCCACCCCCCATCCCCAGTTCATCCCTGTGTTTTGCCCAGAAGAAGTGCTCTGCTCTGGGACACAAGTGAAAGCAACAGGCGATCTGGGATGCAGCTCCTCTCGCTTCAGCTCACCTTAACCACAGCCATGTCCCCACTCGTCATACCCAAAAGCTTATTGTCCTCCCCCAGCACATACCCTTGTGAACCTGTCTCCTGCAGAAAGGGGTACAAAGAGGGGTTTAAAACCCTTGGCTTAACCTTTTTTTGGTCTCTTCCTTAAGGAGAAGCCAGAACTTTCCAGGCAGATCATTAATGAGTGGGTGGCTAACAAGACAGAGAAGCGCATTACAGAAGTGATCCCAGAAAGTGGTATTGATGATCTCACTGTCTTGGTCCTGGTCAACACCATTTATTTTAAGGTAACAAAAGCTAACAGAACTGGGGAGCACCACACTTCCCTGGAGGAGACATGGTGCTCATGTTTGTTTTCCCCCTCTCCTTTTTAGGGGCACTGGAAATCGCAGTTCCCAGCTCCAAACACAAAACTGGACATATTTCATAAAGCCAATGGTGAGACCTGCCAAGTCCCAACTATGTACCAGGAGTCCAAATTCCACTACGCATTCATCCCCCAGGACAAAGTCCAGGTGCTGGAGCTGCCTTACAAAGGGGACGATATCACGATGCTGCTGGTCCTGCCCAGTGCTGGGACGCCACTGGAGGAGGTGGAGCGAGACCTGACATCGGAGAAGCTGCAGGGCTGGATAGATTCCATGAAGGAGATGTCTCTCTTCGTCTACCTCCCTCGCTTCCGTATCGAGGACAGCTTCAGTGTCAAGGAAAAGCTGAGGAAAATGGGGCTGGAAGATCTCTTCAGTCCAGAAAACGCTAGACTCCCAGGTGAGATGTGGAGATAGGGCAGCGCAGGATAGAGGTGAGGGGCAGCCATTCCTCCCTAGGCAGGGCAGTAGGTGCAGCAGCACACGAGGAACGAGCACAAGGAACAATTTATGTGTTGCTGCAATCAGTGATGGACTCTCTGGTAAGGTCCCACCATGGACACTCAGCTCTGCTCTGCATTGAAGACATGACAGTTTAGCAGTCAGTTGGACATGGAAGAGGATGTTTTTGTTTTTGAGCAGCCATGCCTTCTGCCTGATCCCAGGCCGTGAAGGATGGGAATGTATTCTTTCTTGAGCTGTCTCTAAACTCAGTTTCACCTTTGTATATTTTTGTATTTCAGGTATCATTGCAGAGGGCCGCACAGACCTGTATGTGTCTGAGGCTTTCCACAAAGCCTTCCTTGAGGTGAGCCTTGTTTTGTGCCAGCATGTTTTGCTTTTTAAAAAAAAATATTAAAGGAAAAAAAAATAGTTCTGAACCTACAGTGTTCACTTCTCAGCAGTCTGGGGCTGGTCTGTGTTCTGTGGAGGAGAAGGAGGGTGAGCCCTCTTCATGCTGCATAATGCCTGTATTTTAATCCCATCTTGTCTCTTGGCTGGCAGGTGAATGAAGAAGGCAGCGAGGCCTCAGCTGCTACAGCAGTCACCATCTCTGGCCGTTCCTTCCCTATGAACAGAAAAATCTTCAATGCCAACAGGCCCTTCCTGCTTTTCATCCGGGAAGCTGCCCTCAACACCATCATCTTCATGGGCAGGATAGCTGATCCTTGCTCCTAAAGGGGCTGGTAGGGCCTCACTTCTCCCTCCTCTGCCTCGGGAAAAGGGGAGGTGGGGTATTGCCACAAAGTGTGGGCTGCTCCTGGGGTGGTTGGTCTTGCTGTTTGGTGCCAGCTGCAGGGAGGGACTGCATCCAGCTGGGCTGTCCCTGCTCCTCCCTGCCATGTCAGGTGAGTGGCTCATAGGTCACCTCACCTGTCCTGTCCTTTGTGGCAAGGAAAGCTGAATTTCATCTGGTACCAGTATTTTTGTGGCACCCAAGTCCAGCATTGCTGTCCTTCCTGTGCCCAACCCTCTGTAACTCTGATCACTTGGTTCATTAAAACCTATAGATCTGTATGTAACAGACTGTTCTCTGAATGCACAGATTACACTGAGCCACTTCCCATTATTTAAATTCTTCGTTTCCAGCAAATGGGGCTCCACACCAGAAAGGTGAGTGGAACAGCAGAAGCCATAAGGCTTGTGCTGGCTGGGCAAGGAACACCCTTCTGCAGCTCCGTGTGGGTGGAAGAGCTGCCAAAAGCTGTGCCCTGCTTGCCAGCAGCTCTGGTGTGTCCTGTGTGCCCAAGGGCTGAGAGTCACTAGTCACAGCCTTGCATAGCCAAGGCTTTGAAATTCTTTTTGAATGCTAAGATTTCATCTAACAGTTACTGTAGCAGCAGTGCCCATGAACCACGACAGTGCCCAGGTAAGGAAACCAGTACCTGTAGCTTTGATAAAAATAAATTATTTCACCTGCAAGTTTACTCCAGGAGCTGAGGTCTCCTGGCCTGCTGCCAGGCCACACATGATCAGACCTCTTGTCTTAGGGTGCCTGTATTGCTGTAGGACTTTTGGCAGGGCTGTCCTGAAGATGCAGATTTCTCCATTTCAGACAGCTGTTTCAAACCAGACAGTGAAAGCACAGTTCCTGTCCTCAGGAGGTCATGGAAGTGGTGTGTGCAGACAGTGGGGTGCACTGCCCAGTGGGCCACTTACTCTGGATTTTGTAGGACCAATGAAATAGCCACCTTTGTAAAGGCTTCTCTTGGCAGGAACTGCTAGAGCAGCCAAGCAGTGAGGGAGTTAACTTGGATAGAGCTGGTATGCCAGATCTTTGGTCACTGGGTCTCTAGATTTGGAAGCTATCAGGGGTTTGATTCTTTCCTGCTCCCAGTAGGATTGTTTGACCATCTGTGCAAGCAGTGTGTGACTGGGGCATGGAGAGCCGCCTCTTCCATTGTCCCACAGGCCATGGCAAACCGTACACATCTGAGAGGTGTCCTTCAGGGGCTCCTACAGGTACTCCCTGGGGCAGTACCTTGGAAACAAACTGTGATGGGCTGGGACCCTGGGAGAAAAGGGAAAGCATTTTGAAAATACCAAGAGTTCAGAAAGCAGCTCTTCCTCTCCCTGCCCTCCTCTGGCAGTTACCATGGTGGCTTTTCTTGCTGGATCCCATCTTCTGCCTGTGAACTTCACTGAGAGACACAAAACCTCCTGTAATTGCTGCCTTTTCCAGCTGTGCTCCAGGCTGTGGAGGTGAACACTGGTGAAAGAGGAGGGCTGAGGCAGTGTCTGGGCCTCCCTAGCATGGCACTGAACCAAAATGCTTCCCCTGCCATAGGCAGCTGGGAAAACATCCAAAACTTGGCCTGCAGCAAGAGCACAGGGCTTGTTCCTCCTGGGGAGACTGAAAAGGGCTGAGCCTGCTGAAGAGGTGAGACAAAACTCAGCCAAAAAGGACAGAAGCCACCTGAGTTGCCAGGAACAGCAGCCTGGCACTGTGCAACCTCTCTCAAGCTGCTGAGCTTAAGAGCCAGGACCAGGCAGAAAATCCACACTGGGTAAGGACCAGTCAGCTATAAGACACAGACAAGGATCTGAGTATTAAACCATTTAATTCTCAAACCACTCACATGCATAATGTTCTTTTACACAGTGTTAAAAGAAAGAAGAAAATGCATTTTTTTTTTTTAATACAAACAGAATTTCAAGTATACATTTATAGAATTTTCCAAGATTCTTACCCAAGTTGCTAAGTTCTCATTCACATTGTTCTTAAAGCTGTCCAACGAGAGCGCTTTTTGCTAAACTGCTTTCAATGCAATTGTACAGTCCCCTCTACCTTGGTTTTATTTCCCCCTTTCCCAACTCTGGTTCCCCTGCCATCCCTGCCCACCCCCCTCCAGCAGTGCTGGCTGTCCCTGGACACAATGGCCATGGAGCTTCTGTTTGCCAGTGCCTGCTGGAAGAGGAAAAGAGAAGCAGTCATGGAGGGCCAGTTTGGAAACAGCTTGGAAAATCACTGAAGAACAGTCTGATATCCACAAGTTACAGCTTACTCTTCAGCCTACTCCAGACTAGTCTGAACACTGACTTTTTTTCTTGAAATAAGGACTGCAACCAAAAACAAAATAAAATAATAAAAACAAAAGAATAATTAGTACAGCAGGAAATTTCTTAACTGTGAAAGTAAGTCTTGAGTGTTAGGACACCTGTCCTAAAAAGGTTTGATTTATAGGTCACTAGTTGACGGTGACAGCACAATTTCTGTTACAAATGGTTACTCTGCAAACCAGCTCAGAGCAGAATCAATGTGGGACACACAAACTTGGATTAAAAAAGAAAAAAAAACACCAAACAGAACTGACAAGGGCTCCATATTCATGTTATGGAAAAAGCCCACAACCCCAGTGACAGCTTTCTCCAACCTTTGCTGCTCAGCTCAGCTCAGCTCAGCCCTGGGCCGCCAGCTGGGTTGTAACTGGGTGCAACTTCTGACCTGTTAAAAAACGGGGTTTCAGTCTTCTTGACAGGCAAGGGTGGGTTTCTCTTGAAAGATTCCAAGGTCTCCTAACAGCCACCAGCCCCAGCAGTGCCTGGGCACGGCGGGGCCGCTCCGGGCAGCGTGGGGGCCGTGTGGGCCCGGGGGGCTGCTGGAGGTAGAGCTGCCATGGCCGAGGCTGTGGCAGCATTGCTCCCCCCGAGCTGTGGCTGCCCAGGAGCTGCCTGCCTGTACAGCTGTGTCCCCAGCCAGCCACAGCTGTACTCCTCTGACGAGTTAAAGTGCATTGCGGCAGAAAAGGGTTTGCTTTTTAATTTTTTTTATTTTTTTTTAATTTTTTTTTTAAAGAGGAACCTATTTAAAGTGCTGTTCTAGTTTGGAAAGGGACTTTTTAGAAAAAAAAATGGCACCTTTTCACATGAGAGATTTGCTCTCTGTATGTGTATACATATATATAAATTTGCAAAAAAAAAAAAAAAAAAAAAAAGAAGAAAAAAAAAAAGAGGAAAAAAAAAATCCTGTGCTCTTTATTAAGTTATCCCAGTTAAATCTTTCTGGTGAAGATATACTTGACTATTTCCTCTAAGAGGCTTTTGTATTTTAGAAATTGATTGTCAGTTAAGTTTGTTACAAGATGAAATTTGATTAGCAAATTGCTATACAAAGCCACTTCCCTTGTTAACTCTTAAAAATTCTCTCTCCCACTACTCAACTATCCATGCCCTGTTTAGGGGTCACATCCTGTCTGCTCCTGTAGTAGGACAGCATTTCCTGCTCTGAGCAGTTTTAATGGAAAAAACCAAAGTTTTAAAAAGAGCTACAGATATCATATTCACAGTGCTGTGCAGGGAAGGTGGGGTGACACCAGGGAAAAGAGGGGAGCTCTGGGGACAGTGGGGACACAGCTCATGGGAGCTTCAGCTAGTGTTCAACACATTAAAGGCTTGGGAAAACTGCATTCACTCCCCTCCCTTTTCAGACTAAAGCAGTGCTTTGAATACCTTGCTTCCATTTCCATGAATTACCATCTGATCCAGTCTTCTCATCCTTCGCTAATTCTCCCTGCAAGTGCAGGGCACGAGGTGAGGAATATGTTACTGCAAGAACACACAGGTGCATGTTATTCTCCTCCTCATTCAGCCTCTAAAACACCTTATTCAGAAAGGTCTCTTTTGCCACCCAGGATTGCTCTTGCCTGTCCTAAATGTCAGCCATGTTACCCACCAACACAAAAGAACCACGCCTTATTTGAACAACACCATACCAATATTCCTTACTGGCACTTGCCCTGTGACAGCACAGCCCTGGAAGCTGTCTGGTGTCAGCTTTCTGCCCAGGCCAGTGCCTTAGAGGGGAAGCCAAAGGAATTAGCTTTAAGCAAAGGGTACAACAAAATTCTACTTGCAATCCCACCCAGGGTGCTTCCCCCAACAGCACAACCCTGGCTTAGGAAATCTTCTAACACATCAGAAAAGTGCCTGCATGCCACCTACACCCTGCATCTCTGGTGGAGATCCAGGCTGCTCTGTAAACAGCCCCTGCAAACAAACATGGACTGAAAGAATGCCCTGGGGCTGGGGACAGCCACAGTGGGGCTGGGGCTTCATGCCCCTTCCCAAAATCCAATCTGTCAGCCTGAGAATTGCACTGTCCACTTCTCATTAGTGTCACCCACTGCTGCCACCCTCATCCCACTGGCCTCTTGCAGGCAAGAGCTGTGTTCAGTTACCAATGCACAGGCAAGGAAGGATTCAAGGAAAGCTTCACAGTAATTCAGAGAGGTTCTTTAGACATGTAAACTCTCAGAAAACACTCTTGGAGGCGCAAACCCCCGTTATCAAACCAATGCCCAAGACACATAGATGAATGAGCAGAGCCAGGGAAACCTCAATTAATTGGTTCCCCATTTGGTCAAGCTTTTAAAACTTGACCAAATGGGGAACCAATTAATTGGCATCATCAAGTTAAAATTTGTTTCTCTCAGACTAGTTTTGTGACTCCTCCCCCTGCCCTAGACTCGGTAACTTCTATTGGAATTCTAGCAGAAGACATCCCTGCCCATGGCAGGAGGGTTGGAATAAGATGAGCTTTAAGGTCCCTTCCAACCCAAACCATTTTGTGATTTGAGTAACTAATTTAAACTGTATTTTATCTTTTTATACTGCCACTTTATATTTTTTGTCCAGCAGTAAATGAATCAATCCAACTTCATTTTTCATTTCTCATTAGTTTTACAGTTTCATAGCCAATGATATTGGGTCTGACTGCAAAGGTAATGGGAAAGTTTAAAAAAATAAGCCTCACTGCAGTATAAAAATAATGCAGCCATTTCACCATGGATCTGAGGGGAAGGGTGTTAGGTACATTATCAAAAACTAAGCTGAAAGTCTGCAAAAAAATTAATGCACTGATTTTTTTTTTTAAGTACTGCCTTAGGTAACTGCAGTAAAATAATAAATCAGAGTATGTCAGATTAAACAAGGAACTTACACAGCAGTATTTAAAAATACCTGAACATGTTTCAAAAGCTTAACTGATACAAACTAGGAAGGCCAGTAAAGCTGCCAATTTTACATGATAAAACTAAAAAAAAAAAGGTAACAAAAATACAGCTTGGCGCAGTCCAATGGAAACAGGAACTTAGAGGCTGCACTCTCCCATGATGGAGATTTCCCAGCCTCTCTGGACAGCCTGATCCAATGCTGTTTGACTGTACTCATGGTGAGATAATATCTTATCATACCTAACCTGATTTTCCCTTGTATAAACTGCTGCCTACTGCTGCTCCTCCTTCCACCGTGTGCCTCCAGGAAGGGCCTGGCTCCATCTTCTCTGCACCCTTCCCTGAGCTGTGGAGTTTAAATAGTAAAAATTATATAGGTAAAGGAGAAAGCACTGAAAAAACCAAACTTCAGTCTTCAACACTTGCTAGAAAACTCAAAAAATGACACTTTGAAGTCTAGTACTGCCCTTTCCACCCTTCACTTCCCACCCTTCAGTTCCTTCCAATGGCGTCTTTGCAATGCAAATCTTGCCCCCACAGGGGACTGAACCCTTTTCCTTCTTATTATTCACAGCTCCAGCAAGGAAAACACTGGTGCTGCTCGCTGTCATGTGCCAGAATAGGCATCTTTGGACAACTGTCTCACAAGGCAGCTGCATTTCCTGCATGCTCCTGCCCCTGAGCAGGTTCTAAGCCCAGAATTTCCCTGCCCACAGCATCCATGGCATGCCAGCTACATGCACTACATCGTCCCAGTGATGCTTTGCTGCTGTTCCACATTTCTACCCATTCCCCTGTGTGGTTCCAATGCCACCAGCACCAGCCAGGGCTGAAAACAGATAAGCTCTCTCCTTATTTCAGCTCTCTTCCTGCTCCCTAGAGGAAGCAGAGCTGCTGCCAAGCCTGTGGGACATGTTAGAGGTGAATTTGTTCTTAGCACTTGCTAATTCCTCGGAAAGGTAATTACTCCCTGGCACAGAAAAACCAGCAAGATCTTATCTTTGAATTCAGTATTTCTTCCTATTGGTGACAGCAGAACACGTGCCTTCACAGAAGTTATTAACAAACCCCCAACCACTTCTAGACACCACTAAATAGCAATGGCTCATTTCCTAAAACTTTAAAATTAGACACTAAATACATCAGTGGCTGGTTTTGTGGCTTCCTCCCCAGCTCCTGGCTGTGCCAGGTCACAGTCTGATTTTCTGTTTTCTCCCTTTTTATTTCTGGCTTTGCCAGAACGTCCTTGTTTTACAACAAAACTGTTAAGGATCATGAAGAACACCTTCAGAAGGCCCCACCATCTGACTTTACTCAGCAAGTTTCAAATCCTTTCAAGGCTGCAACTCCCCAGCAGCACAAGTTCTTAAGTCTTACTCCTAGCCATGTTTTTGTCACCAAAGACCTTTCAGAATTCCCACCTAAAAAAGGTTCCTCCTATTTCCGAGAGACATCATTTCACAAGCTGTAATACTTTGGTTTACAACTAGATTAAAATATAAATTAAATAAGAATAATGCTAAATGAGTTTATATTGAAACACCATTATATTTGTTTCTATATATGTATATACAGGTATGTGTGTGTGCACTCCCTAATGACAGCTAGAGGAAGCAAAAGTCATTCTCCAAAAGCTTCTACTCTTCCAACTAGCATGGTCAACTACTTATCCATTGCAACAATTCCCTGTGCATAAAAGCTAATGAAGCACTGGAAGGTGGTGCTGGTGACCAGCTGGATCACACAGACATTCAGGAACAGAAAGACAATAAATTATAAGAAGCAGTAGTAACTTGTTCACAGTTGGGATGAGGATAATGTTATGGGAAACCTGAATTGTCTACAGTTCCAGGAATAAAAAGCCAAAGCTTACTGAAAGTTACAGATACATTGCAGATAATCCTAAAAGCAAAGATCAGATCTGACACAAAGAAATGGCAGAAACCATGTGGAATTTCTCCCAGCAGCCTAAACTCTTGTACCATCAGATTCAGCAGGAAGCTTTCCAATACCTCCATCAAAAGTAGAATTCATCCCAGGGATGCTCTGATCACTGCCTCCATCTCAGCAATGGACATTTTCCCAAGTAGGAAGATTCCTTGAAACCAACTCAATCCTACATCCAAAAGAAAATGCTCCCAATCCTTTCTTGATTCCATCAGCCCAAACATCACACTCAATCTCTCCTAATTCACAGCCTCTGTGTTTTTCTGTGTTTGCCAAGCCAAAGCCTTTCAGCAGATGGAAATATTTTAGAGATGGTAGGACTCTTCAAATAATTGTATAACCCACTTGTGTGGGTTTCAGGTAAGGAATAACCTACGTTTCTAGAAAGACTACCTGCAGCAAAACTTTGGTCTGCTGCATTTTACTGGTTATAAAACAAAACAAAAAACAAACAAAAAACCTCCACAGCAAGTCTACTCCAAATCTACTCTATTCCAAAATGTTCTGGTAGTTTCAAGAAGCAGCCAGTATTGTTTGCATAGTTCTAACTTCTATTTGGTTACATATATATATATATAAATACATATATATATACTATACATACACAGGTACATATGTATTTTATTTTAAAATATCCTTTGAATGACAGTGATTAAAATAAGGATTCTGAGCTCCTCTTTAGGCCCTTTAACTGCAGATATCAAAACCCTGTGCATGGCTCTCACCTTGTGACAGGAGCAATGCTCACCACAATTATTTTGCTGTGGCAGTGGATCCCAGGCTTTCCAACTGCAGTCCTGGCCACAGATTCAGCTCCTAGGGAAAACTCAGATCCCAGACCCTGGCAAAAAGTCTCTCTGAATTATAGCTTCTTGACTTACAGACTAGCATGGGTTGGAAGGGACCTTTAGAGGCCATCTAGTCCAACCGTCTTGCCATGGGCAGGGACTTCTCCCATCTCCAAAATATTTCCAGCAGAGCCTGAACAGCATTTGATGTCACTATTCTGCAGAAACATTTGGATGCCGACACAGCTAAATTGGCAGGCATGTCACGGATCAAAGAGGAGAGTTTGCTAAAGTTTAAATAATTTTAAAGGCTGGTTTTTGTTAGTTTTCAAGGAGCATGATCCTATCTACCTCCCACACCACCTTCCACCCAAATCAGTTTGATCAGCTGCACCTTTGCAGCTGTCTTCCTATTTATATGTTGGATTCTGCAGGAGAGATGATGTCAACAGCAAATAAAAACTACAACTCTGCTCTTGCAAAGGCCTTGTTAGGGCTGCATCACCCACAAGAGGCAAGGACTCTACTCCAAAAGCAAACTGCTTGGAATCGCTTCCTGAAATGGGCATCCCACAGTTAAGTGACATTCCTACTGCAGAGGTGTGGGACGGAAATGCAGCCACAGAGCTGTCACAAAATGAGAGCAGGACAAGCAGGGAGAGCTGTCCTGTCCATGTACTTCAACCCTGAGCTCACAGAGGGCTGAAATCTTGGCTCTGTGCCCTGTGTGCTGAGCCAGCCCCATGATGCTTTTCAGCTTGTTCCCAGTGCTATTCCAGCTCTGTATAGCTGTCAGATGGGAATGGGGTCAGTCACTGCCGACCTCTCTGGGTTTAAAACAGCAACAGAGACACAACATGCTTTCTGTTCTTCCCAGCACCCAAACTAAAGTTAAATTATACAGGTCACAGCTTGAGGATATTGTAGAGAAAATGTAGGAAAGTCCAAGGACTGAACCTGATGGTGGATAATGCTGAGAGGATGAGGAGGGACTGCCCATTTGCACTGGCTGCTCTGGCTCTCACCAGGCTATCCTGCATCTTACTAAGTTAGCTCTAAGCATGTCCTCAGCCTCCTGCAACAAATTCACATTCCACAAAGCCTCTCATTCATCCCTCTCTAGCTGCTGGAAATACAAAGCACAATTTGTTCTCACATCCTCTCACTGCATTTTGGCCTTCTCCTTTTCCCAGCATCACATCAGTCATCCTCCTGAGACAAAGAGGTTTCGCTTTTCTCCAAAGCAGCAACACAGTATTAACACAATTCTTGCTATTTTCACAGCTATTCACAGGTAACCTGGCAGCAGCAGGGAACAGCCGTGGCAACCATCATGTCACTTGGCTGACACTTGGCACCAGGGCTTGCTGCAGGCTTAAGGAGATAACCACAACTCTTCACATTTGGGAGGTGAGTTCTTTGACAGCAAAGAACCATGTCCACCTCCAAGAAAGCAAACTGTAAAACCAGAGTGTGTTCTCCTTGTTGCCTGAGGCAAGAAAATAAATGGGTTAGTAAGCCCTAACTCTAAAGCAGACAAAAATGTTACGTACAGAGGTATTAAAACACAAGAGTTCTCTTCACATCCTCCTTAAATCACAGTTGAAATCACAGTTTTGGCAGAACAAGATGCAGCTAGATGTGGGAATGCAAAGCTGTGCCTCAACCCATCACAGAAGCATTCACACTTGGAAAGTTGGCATCTGATTTTCCACAGCTTTGGTGCAACTGTAAAGAGCCACACCAACGCAGAAGCAACAGGACACAGTATCATTCTGTTAGGGAAAGCACCTCTAAGTAGCTACACCACTGTCAGAAAATTCACATGAGGTTTCTCCATACCGTACAGGACCTCCAACCCCTTTTTTCTTGAACCTTGGTCTCATCTGCACTCAGGAAGTCGACCCTTGAAAGAAATGTTCAATAACGATTCCTTCAGCACTGGTTCCACTGTCTAGTGCGGATGGGCCTGAACTGGTTCAGCACTGTTCAAGAAATATTAGACATGATGATTCCCACACATACATACACATCCATTAAATGTACAGAAATAATATCAAAATGATTCCCACTACCATACCTTATACTGACTCTAGCTACAAGCTATAAACTTCACCTCAGCGAGGCCTGGGCAAGAATATTGGCTCTTTTGCATGCAATCAGAAATGATCATTTATACAGTGGCAACCTCTGCACAAAAAAACAAAACAAAACAAAACAAAAAAACCAAAAAGAAAAGCAAACATAAAGGAGGAAAAAATAAAAACCTTTCACAAGCTTTGTTTTCAGCCTAGTAAGGTATGAAGGACTAATTTCATGGTTTTCACCAGGCCACTTGAAGTAGTGAATCAGCAAACAGGACACGCTGTTGGCATCCTGTACTGTTTGGATGCTTCTCCGTTCACAGTATTGATACAGTAAAATAAAAACCTGCTCAAGAAACTCACAGCTATGCCATGGGAACAAAGGCATTCACCATTTTATGTCAGCCCTTCTTCACTACGGTTGCCATCTGTCTCAGAGAAATGTTGCTCGTGTAGCAGTTACTGCACCTTCACCCTTCTCTTCACAGCAAGCTTAGCAGGGAAACTTTCCCACTATATTTTTATATAATATATGTATATAAATAATTTTATGTTTTTATAGTTTGGTAGTATTATTTTAAAATTTCTATTTTAAAACACTTAAAAATCTTTTAAGCAACTAAAAGTAACTTTTTATGCTCTCTAGTGTGAACAGGATAGGATTTCAAAGTTTTTAACTTTTTTTTTTTTTCATTTTTGGTAACTTCAAAAGCTATGACTAAAGCAGCACATCTCCACTCCTCCCTGCACCTTGATTGCAACAAAACCTACCTTGGCCACCCTCTCACCTCATCCTCTGCCACTGCTCTCTGGCAACCTCACTGTTTTGGTACCGTGATGTCTGACCTTTGCCAGGAAACCTGACGGAGCTGGTTGTTTGGGTGGCCAAATCACTCCCTGTGTGATGGATGCCCTTGACAGGAGAGGAGGAAGAAGGCACAGAAGGAAAACGGAGGTGAAATATCAGTTTTCCTGTTTGAAATGGTCAATGAAATGGTACTTTGCAGGTACCCAGCTCAGAACGCCTGCAAAGGTTCCTCTTGTAGGATCACATCTCTGTTACATGTGATACTGGCACCGAGCCCTTTCCCACACACAAAAACACATTAGAGCCACATCTCTTTTTGAGAGAGAGATGGGAGGAACAGTGAGACCCCTCACATATAAAAAAACCTATCAATCAAGGCAAGAATACATCACCTTCTCCAAATTATTCCCTCCAAAGGGGCAGGAAAATGATCCCAAGTACCAATTTGCAGATGGGGAAAGCAAGGGCTGGAGATGTCTCCATGTGCCCAAGACTGCAGTCAGACAGCAGGCCAAGTTTATTGTCACTTGGTCAGGCTCCTGCCTGCTAAGCCCCTGCTCTCACCTCTCATCCAGCTTTCTTGCTGAAGCAAGATGAAGTTTATTTCTTTTTCAATGTCTCCTTGTTCCTCCCATCACCTTAAAGTTCAGAACTTCACCCTTCCTCATCATATACACATTATACATCCTCAAGAGAACTCCTTCACCAAACCTGATACGCACAGCCTGTCGTCCATTCCCCCCCTTCATCATGAACAACTTGGCATCAGAACTAGAGAAAACTCTTAAAATATTGCATATTTTTTTAAAAAAAGATGTCAGGATATTTGCACTTATCTGCCTGTCCCATGCTTTTCTGGTTATGGACCACGTAAGCTCGTGCAAACACCTACAATACACACGCAGGCATGTCTCTCCAGGTTTGCTAAACTTGCTCTAAACATCAGAGCTACTCAGAATACAAAAATGTTAAGTCCATGCAAGGGGACAGAGTTGTGATTGCTCTAGGAACCATTCACTTTTAAATCTCCTGAACTGTTATAAGGAAATAGAGTAGGGTTCTCTTTTCTTTTTGCGTTTCATTGATAAAAAAGTTATCAAACTAGTTTGTAGAAACAGGTTTAAAAGCAACCACCTGCGATTGCTCAGCTGTGACAACAGCATTGCAGTATTCCCATATCCCGTATTGCTGTTCTAAAAGATCAAGTGTGTGTCGAGGGGGGAGCAGGGGTGAAAGAGGACTTTGGTAGCCAGCCTCTAACTCTGCAATTCAGCAACTCCAGAAAATCTCTTCCTAATCCTTGGCACTACCTGAAGCATGGCAGCGCTCCAGTCAGGACCTCAGAGTGCTCTGAGCTCTCCAGATCAGCACCAGCAGAGGACAACCTCCTCTGGAAGACCCCTCCAGCCCTTCTCCCAATGCATCAGTCTCATGCAAACCTCACAGCTGCTAAATTCCACTCTCAGTAGCTGAAGTACTTCCTTCACATTTTGCTGACCTCTGGAATACCACTTTGTAGCTGTGCCCACTTTAACAAGGGGCACCAGGGCTGCATGCCTGGAACGAGCAAGCCCAAAGCCCTAAAATAACAGTTTAAATAAAAACGTAAAGAGACACACCAAAATCAGACAGGGATAAATACACTCGGGCAAGGCAGGTTCCACCAGGACAGTTTACAGTTTTTTTGTTTTCTTTGCTGTGGCAACTACCTGGGGAAGGGAGAAAGGCAACGGCCCCTTGCCCCTGCTCTCCCCTCGAGCGGGAGCAGTGGATATGGCTCTGTGGCTGAACCCGGCACCGCCGGCGGGACGCCCTGCTGGGCCACAGCGCTGTCCAGAAATACAAATGACTGCTTGTCCCAGATCACTACAGAACAGTAAAAAAATTTAAAATCCTGTCGATCCCTGAATAAGAAGTTGATTGACACAGTTGTTCTGTTTTTCTCCAAGAGGAGGAGGAATAAGGGAGAAAAACATTTAACACTCTATGGGTGTGTGTGTGGGTGTGTGAGAGGAAGAGAGAGAAAGAGAGAGATTTTTCTATTTTGGCAACATCTTGGGAGCTTCTTTCTGTTCAGTGGTGGCATTGCACTAATTACAGTACCAGCCTGCCGGGTCGGTGCTGACTCTTTAGAGCCAGGAATGGGAAGACGGTCCTTTCTCCTGGACTCCACAGCCGCATTCAATCCGGCCCGGTTGTGGACACAGATCCCTGTGCCGTCTCCCCCACCGCCACAGCCTCTTCCTGTGGAGGGGATTCCTCCTCTGCCTGCCCCCGGGACGTGACGGTGGTCTCGGGGGAGATGCTGTGGGGCCCCTCCAGGGGCAGACAGCCGGGGTGGTTCTTGCGAAAGTGCTGGTTGAGGATGGCCTGGAAAGGGAAGCTTTTGCCGCACACGTGGCAGTGGAAGGGCTTGTTGCCCGTGTGCTTGCGGATGTGATATTCCAGCTGATCCTTGCGGGTGTACTTCTTCCCACACATGCGGCACACGAAAGGGGTGATGCCCATGTGGAGCCGCATGTGCCGGTCCAGGCTGCCCTTCTGGTTGAAGGATTTGGCGCAGTAAATGCACGTGAGCCGTGGGTTGTACCGGAACCAGCGCTCTGAAACCTCCTGCTCCCGCAGATACTCCACGTAACCGCTCACTCCAAGCATGGCAGATTCCTCCCCCTGCCAAGGAAATGGCACAGATTTAAATAACAAGCAGCCTAAAACAAGTTGCAGAGAAGATTAGGCCCAGGTCCAGCCAGTAAAGCATGTGCCAAACCTCAAAATCAGCAGCACTAATGTCTGCAACCTCAAGCACACATTTAAGTGCTTAACTGGGGCCTCGAGGCTGAAGACAAACGAGCAATCAATTAGAAACCACTGCTGCAAAGGCCCCCTCTGCCAAGCCATTCCCTGAATCTGGTGAAGAAAAGACAGCCCTTAACACAAGGGGACTTGGCCACCAGTTCAGTTGCAGACCACATGTCAATACTTGTTACTTTTTAAAAAATTTCTGCCAGTTTAATTAAAACACTTGGGTGTATCATCTTCTCTTTTTCCTTACTAAAGTCAAAAAAAAGAAGCCAGTTGATGAGCTTGCAGTAAAACAAAGGAGGAGCAAACCATAAATCATATCTGAAAGTGTTCAGGTGTCATTTTACACAGGTATTTATTCAGATGTCACTTAGAGTTCACAAGGAGTCACGTTTGCCTGCCTGGCTGTGTAACCCATCCCAGCCCCGTGGCATCGCAGGCAAGGATGTGCCTGACCCAGCTTGCACAGCAAAGACTCCTCTGTATTTTCTGAAGTCACACAGACAAACAGCTGAGAGCAACCTGAACCACAAGCCTGGTCTCAGGACAGACACTTCTGACCATCGTATTCAGACTGAGCAGAAACACAGCGACTCCAGGATGCTGCTGTGCTGGAGATGCACTGTTTGCTCCCCCAGTGCTGCTTCCCAGTGGTGCCACATGTAGAGAAGCAACCAGCAGAAGGGCATCTCTTCTGCAAGCCAGGGTTCTACAGGCATGAGCAGCAGTGTACCTGTGCCAGGTGCTGCTAAATCCAGCTGTACAGGAGTAGGGAAGCTGTTGAGGACTAAAGGAGATACACAAAGCTCTATTTCTTCCTTTCCAGTGCCATTGGACAGGGCAGGGACAGGGGCAGGCTATTTTAGCATGGATATCGCAATGCCAGGAGAGTGGAAGTTGATGATACTTCCCCATGGTGTGTAAAGCCTAAGGTTTCATGTTTAAGGCTGTCTCACAATGGAGAAATAAGAGTACCTTTTTTTGTAGGCAGAGCTAAAACTGCTTAATATGTCACATTTCCCCTAGAGGGTTGGTTTGACCTGAAATTTTTGCAATGTCTTCTGAGGACACAGAACAAAGCTTTGCAAAACAGGAACAAAAAGGTATCTGTCATTTTATGGAAGTGTCTAACAAAGTCAGCAGATAGCAATCACAATTTCTCCCTACCTTGCTTCACTTGGTCTTACTCAAGAGCAAAGCAGCCTAGTGCCTCCTTACCCACCTCCAGCCAAGTCCTTACACACTGACACATTCCCTACCTGCCAGGTTCACAAGAGTCCTGCACTCTGCTGGCTGACATGCTTGCACTACAGAGGCACTGTGACACTAACTGGATGCAACTAAATTAGACCAAAATGATAAGGCACAGGCAGCAGTAGCTGTGTCCCACTTTGCTCCACTCTACAGCCCACTGCTCTCCCATTTCTGTGCATCTCTCCCTCCCACCCCAAAACTGTGCCCAAGAAAGCAGAGAATTCAGAGCTCCTTTATGTTGCAAAGCCTGCTGTGCAACACAAGTCACTTGGAGACAGAGACCCCTCTAAAACTCCACAGCTCTTTGACACTCCACCCCAAAAGGTTTATTGGTGTAGTGCCTGCAGGGCTTTTGGGAATGGTCTTGGTACCGGCACAGAAAGATTCAGCTGTTGTCACCCGTCTTGCACAGAAGCCAAGCCACACCTCCTCCCTCTGCTCAGGCATTTGCTGCCAGTATTTGAGGGCAGATCCAGCTCTGCAGGCAAATGGGGTTTCTCCTCAGGAGTTGGTGGCCTGCCCAGAATAAGGGTGGATATTTATGCCCTCAAACAGCAAGAGAAAATCCTTGTGTTTTCCAAGTATCTGGCCAAAATCCCAAAGAGCCAGGATCCATTTTAAATCGTACTTGCCCAGCACATGTTCTCCTGTGAGCAGGTAGATCCTTTGCCAAAGTAAAAGGTCCTTGTATCACACACATTATTGCTTGCAAATATAAAATATGACACACTTCATCACAACAAAGTCCCCTTCACCTCCAAGCCAACATTTACTTGCAAACATCTTGGTCTGCCTACCTGGGAACTGGGCTGCTTAGGCTCATCCATCCGCCCGGGAGACTCGCTTTTCGATCTGTACCGCTCGGTCACAGCAACCATGCTGCCAGAAGGGCTAAATCTGTGGGGTGGGCAGAGTGTAAATGGGATTTTTAACGGGCATCAGGTCACTACAATGTTTAGAGCAATGGGTGAGCAATAGAGGCACCTGTATAGCATCTCTTCATCCTCATCACCTAACACACTGGAAGTGGAACAGTGCAAGTATAAAGGAAAAACCAAATCATACGGTCTATGGCTTCAGTCTAAACATCTGAAAAATAAAACTGAGTCATTTGGCTTCCAGTTCAGCAACGGAGAAGGTTGCTATCATGAACAAACCGATATGGGCCTGGTGGGGCCTGGTGACTCAGGAACTGTACAGCAGGACAGAAACCATTTCTCAGAGGACACCTCTCCTCCAGCACTCTCCTCCTTCATTCCCAGTGTGAAACATAAGGGATGTGATGGACTAGAGGTGGGAAACAGTGCATACAGACTGCAGTGCAAAAAGAGATACTAGAGACTAGCTGATCCAAGGAAAAGAGCTAAGGAAGTAGGAAAGCATCGCTCTCCAAAGGCCAGCTCAAGATTGTTCCCACTGATTTGATTTATTAAGTGACAAGTGACAGAATATTCACTGCTTCCACGTAGCTATTTCCCCATGGGATTGAGCTAGAAAAGAGGCAGATGTGAAGGGAAACCCTAGAACTACAACCCCCCCAACCCCTGCCCCTTATCAAATCCATTCTCTGGCCTGAGCCTAGGGGAAGAAAGCAAATGATGGAGTGGAAGGGAAGGAGATGGATGGAGAAGCCAAACACAGCAGATTTCACCAGTCATTTTCAACAAAGGCTTTCTGCTTTCTCATGTAAATCAAAACAACAGTGGAGGCCACTGGGTTCCCCATTTCAACTGCCTCAGAAGATGCAAACCCAGGGCCCACTGCTGTCATGGACCACTGGGAAGAGCTTGACCTACAGCTGGTGTCTGGCTCGTTTCTCAGGGGGAACCATCCCCAGATCTCTGGGCCAGAAGGCACCAGTGCAATGGAGATATGTAACACATATTGTATATGACCCCATTAATCCAAATGCTGAATCTGGTATCTACTGAGGCTGAACTGAACATCTTCTTCAAAAAAAATCTCACCTCAGCTCAAACACTGAGAGGTAGAGATCCTAACCTCTAAGAGCTAATTAAGTAATTTCCCAAGCTAGCCTGTACCTGGAGATCCTGGTCTGATCGCTACCCAGCCAAAATACTATTATCCAAACTGGACACACTTCCTAACACCAGGTAAAAACCCTCTTGCTCTTATGCTTAAGAAGGCCAAAGGAAACAGAAAGAGGACCAAAGGAAATAGAAAGAGGAAATGTACCAAAGTGACTGACCCAACCAGGTCAGCATCTTGCATAACCTCCTCTTAGAGGCAAGGTGAATAATTAAGTTTAAGGAAACCCACCTGTCAATCTCACTGCTGGTCGGCCTGACCACTTTGGCTCCAGAGGAGCCTAAGGCAAAGGCCTCCTGGCCCAGCGATCCGTGGCCCGTGGTATCGATCACCATGGCCGTGACCTCCTCAGCGCTGCTCCCATCTTCTCCCGAGGGCTGGTGCTCTGCCCCCAGCCACTCCTCCAGGTTTTCCGTCTTAATGCGCACTCCTCCCAGCACCCGCACTTCCTCGTCGTTCTGCGCCCCGCGCTCTCCCATGCCCGTCTCCACGTACCACTGTCCTGCCCTGTTGATCCGCAGGATGGGCTCCCTGCCTTCCACATCGGAACTCTGCTCGATTATCTGGGGGCTGGTGGACTCCTCGGGCGGGCTTAGCTCCCGGATGTCCAGCACCGTGCTAACCTGGCCCAGGCGGCTCCCCTTGGCGGTGTTGTGACGCGGACTCAGGGAGCGGTTTAGGTTTGGCGTCGCCCGGTGAGACTCGGGCGGTCTCTCCTGATGCTTCGTCCTAGTCTGGCTCAATTCCGCTTCCACCTCGGCCACGTTAATTTTGAAATGAATCCCCTCGAGTATCTGCGTGCATTTGTCTATGATGTGCTGCATCTGCAAGAAACTGGCAGCTGTCAGGTAACTGATGATGTCAGCCAGCTGCAGACATATCCTGCCAGTGTAGCAGAAGGAGAGGAGCTGCTCGAACACAGAAGGGTTCTTGATGACGGAGATGGACACGGTGCTCATCTCGTTCAGGGACATGTGGTCACGGAAGTAGGGTGAGCTGGCAGCCAGCACCACCTTGTGCGCACGGAAAGCCTGGCCCTGCACGTTGACCACGATGTCACACAGCCGACCCTGCATGCGCAGCTGGTTCAGGTGGCTCAGGACAGAGTTACTGAAGTTAGGAATCTCCAGCTGAATGTTCCCACTCTTCTCCATGGCTGTCCCAGCTGCAGGTGCACGACTCTACTGGAAAAGGGGGAAAGGATCCTGTCATCAGCAGAGCCAATCATTTGAAATTAGAACTTTTTTCACCTGCTTCCACACAGTTTGAAACACTGGAGTTTTTAGAGACCTTCCTCACCCACTGAACTGCCACACACCTGGCAGCAGCTCTGTCATGAAGGAGTGTGTTTGAGATTGCTTAAAAAAGCATCCCAAAAGCTCTCTGATCTCTCCATGCTATGCATTCCCCTGCACAAGAGTTCTGCTAAACCAGTCCCCAACAGACCCCCATTCCCTGCGGCTTTGGCCTGCAAAACACTTTGTTCTGCCAGCCTCAATAAAAGCACATCTGCATGTGAACAGAACATTAAAAATGGCACAGGTATTAAAAATAGGCACCTGATTGCATAATGGATTAAAATTCTCACCACTTGTACCTTCTAAGCATCTTGAAAAGAGAAAGTAATAGGGAAAGCTCCTTTGTAAAACAGGAACCAGGAAGGAGACACCGGGACCTAAATCCTCCTGAGACTTTTGAGAAGTTGGCCAGCACACATCTGACCTCAGGTGCCTTGTTAAGTTGAGGTACCCATCATATGTGGCACTTCTGACACATGCCAGAAAATATCTAACGGGAGAGTGAAAAACAAAGCTGGGGCCCAGGAGAGCTCAGAGGGCCTCACTCAGGATCACTTTTGTAGGGTCCCAAAGACTTCACAGTGGTCATCACTAAGTGCCCATCCGGCCATACCCATGATCAGTAACTCCTGGACTCTTTCCCAAGTAATCCAATAATGGGATTGTTCCACTTGGGCTACAATTCACAATGGTGCTGCTCTGCTCGAGCTGCAATCCAGGTCAATGTTCACCCAGGCTACACATGGCTCATCCCTTGTTTCCCACCTTGGCTGGGATGTTCCTCGTTGTTCCCACCTCTACAAGAGCTCCTGGTAGGCTCAGAGAACACCTCACTGCCCAGCTGGTGCAGTCAGGGGACCCTTCACCACTCAGCTGAGTCCACCAGGGCTTATCAGGAGATCCCAGAGCAGGGCCAGGGAGGGGGACTGGGGGATGCACCAGCACATCATCACATCTTATTTTGGCAAAGTTTGAAAAGAAGCCCTGACCATATATGGTAAAAAGTTGGAATGAATGAAAGTGAGACGTAAACTCATCCAAAAAAAAAAAAAAACAAAAAGGAAAGTAAATAAGCTTGTTAAAGTCCACTCATGGCATAAGCAGCTTTCAAGCTGGATGGCATTTGAAATGTGGACTGAGCAGAGTCCTGCACATGTCAGAACCATTTCAAGCAGGCTGGGAATATCAAGGCTCACAGTGTCCACTCTGAGGAATCTCTGAATCGAAGGGATTGGCACATGAAGAGCATGTCTGCATTTGGAGGACTTTTTATTTGGAATTTATGAACATTGCAGCATAGCACATGTCCATATGCCCAAGCAGGCTTTGTGCAAACTTGGCAAACTCACTTACTAAACATGAAGCTGCAGGACAGCCTGTCAATCTTGTGGAGCTGTGCCAAGGGATTTCTGAGTGGCAGGATGGCTGCGTGTCGCTGGGGAAGTCAGACCAGAGTGCACAAAGCTTCACAAGGTGCAGCTGAACACTGCTAGGTCTTAGGGCTTCTTCTCTCCTTCCCCTATCATAGAATGGTTTGGGTTGGAAGGGACCTTAAAGGCCATCCAGTGCCATGGGCAGGGTCACCTTCCACTAGCCCAGGTTGCACCAAGCCCTGTCCAGCCTGGCCTTGGACACTGCCAGGGATCCAGGGGCACCCTGTGGCAGGACCTCACTACCCTCACAGGGAACAGTTTCTTCCCAATATCCAATCTAAACCGACTCTCTGTCAGTGGGAAGCCATTCCCCCTCGTCCTGTGACTCCATCCCTTGTCCTGAGTCCCTCTCTGTCTTTCCTGTCAGCTCCTTCAGGCACTGGAAGGCCACAATTAGGTCACCCTGAAGCTTTGCTTCTCCAGGCTGAACCACCCTGATTCTCACACGAGAACTTCTCCATCTCTCTGATCATCTTGGTGTCTCCTCTGGACTCACTCCAACAGCTCCATGTCTTTCCCCATCTTTTGGAGAAAGCAACAAATGCCACAAAAATCAGGAAACCACAGGGCACAGGTCTGTGTCAACACAGCACTGGGAGCAGAACACCAACTGCACAGAACAAGGGGAAATAGAAAACCCAGCATCTTACCTGGAGTGCTGTGAGTTACATGCAGCAGGAAGGAAATGGGGGTGCTGCCTTCCTTTTTTTCTTCTGATGTAGTAAGAAGAAAACTTGCTGCCCCCTTCCCCTTTAGGAGGTAAAGAGAAAGAAAAAATGAAGGGCAGAGGAACTGGGTTCTCCCAAGAGCAGTTGTGAACATGAAATTTTGTCATTCTTCATTCTGCTGGAGGATCTAGCAGCAGGATTAGCTCACCATCTTCCCCAAACAGCTGTTCCTAAAGCAATAAGCCTCAGAGTACACTCTCAAGGAAGGCAAGGGTGAAACACCCCTGCCAAGGCCACGAGCACCCACGGAGGCAAGAGGGAGGCAGAGGCTGAGCTTGGGATACACAGAAAGAGAAGGGAACAAAAAATCATCAGACCTTAACTGCTGAGCATGGCTGTGGTGAGAAAGCAGCTGCTCCTCAGAGAGCCCAACAAATTATCTGTGAGCTCCTGCTCCAGAGGCAGGGAAAACCCATCTACTCTTTATAACCCACAGAACTCTGCTCACCCCAGTGCCAAGGAACCTGCATGTTATGATCCACTCAGAGGCTGGGGAGAGGGAATCTCCCTTTTGGTCCAAACTACCCTGTCAGAGGCTGATTTCTGCCCCTCTGAGTAAGGGAATCTCTCAGAGCTTCTGCAGCTCAGCCCCAGGGCAATGACATCCTGATTTCTCCCTGCTCTGGGAAGTCCATCACCTCCAGCCACCTTTATGAGCAGGCTGAGCTGAGTCAGCACAGGGCACGCACTGAGACACTGCTGTTTGTCATGCCATTTGAAGGGCCACCAGCTGAGGCTCACACTGATCTCAGCAAATGCCTTCCAGCCTGTGAGGGAGCCACCAGGAGTGGGTGGGATCCACCAGGCAAGAAGCAGAGACAGACCACCCAGCAGATGATGTCACCCTGGAAGCTGCACTGAAGACTTTCAGCTTTTGGGTTGAGATTTACTGTGACAGGGCAACTTCACAGAATCACAGAATATCCTGAGCTGGAAGGGACCCACAAGGACCACTGAGTCCAACACCTGGCTGTGCACAGACACCCCAACAATCCCACCCTGTGCATCCCTGACAGCATTGTCCAAACTCTCCTGGAGCTCTGGCAGCCTTGGGGCTGTGCCCATTCCCTGGGGAGCCTGGGCAGTGCCCAGCACCCTCTGGGGAAGAACCTTTCCCTGACATCCACACTAAACCTGCCCTGACAAAACTCCAGCCGTTCCCTGGGTCCTGTCCCTGCTCCCAGAGAGAGCTGCTTAGGATCCCAGAATGGTTTCGGTTGGAAAGGACCTTAAAGCTCATTCCGTTTCACCCCCTGCCATGGCCAGGGACACTTTCCACTATCCCAGCTTGCTCCAAGCCCTGTCCAACCTGCCCTTGGGCACTGCCAGGGCTCCAGGGGCAGCCACAGCCCCTCCGTGCCAGGGCGTCACCGCCCTCACAGGTAACAATTTCTTCCCAACAAGCCCATTTGGCTGCTCGCACATTCCAACGGGACTCCAACAACTCTGAGCCCAAACACAACTCTGCACTGAGGCAAGCGGCGGTGCCGTCCCGCCCTCCCGCAGGCCCTGGCTCCCGGAGCCCGCTGTCTCCGCCCCAGCGCCCCCGACCCTCCTCAAGCGGGGCCCGCGGCTCCTTCTCCCCGTGACTCCCAGCCTCGGCCCCGCGGGGCGGCGGCCGCGCCCCCGGCGCTCCGGGGCCCCGGGCGGCTTCGCCCGCCCCTCCCGGCCCAGCCTCACCTGCCGGGGGTGGGAAGGGCCCGCAGCGCCGGCCCGGAACCGAAACGCGCCAGCGCGGGCCGCGCCCCGGAAGGAAACGCCGCGCGGACCGTACGCCCCCGCCCCGCCCCTGCCCGTGGACCGCGCCCCGGTGGGTGTGGCCGCGGTCGTACCACGTGATCTACGCTATATAAGGCACGGGCTGGAGGCGCTCTGCCTTTTCTACTCCCGCGGCGATGAGGGTTCTTTGTTCCCTTGGCCGCCCACCCGGTGAGTGGGGGGCGATTCGGCGCTGGGGGTGCGGTGGTGCCGCTCCGGGGGGAGGCCTAGAGGCCCCGCGGGTGCGGGTCGGGCGCCGATGGGCGGTGGCGAGGGAGGATTGAAGTGGATTGCGCGGCCGGGCCTGGTCCGCGGCCTAGGCCGCCGAGGGCTGTGCCGCATGGCGGCCCTGGGGACGCACAAAGGGGGGTCCTGTAGAGCCCCACACGGGTTTGGGAGAGCACCGGGTCAGTGGGATGTCTCAGGCTTTGAGTTACGGGCTCTGGCCTGCCAGTCTGCTGCGCATGAGATGGGGCCGTGCAGTATGTCGGGGTCGCGTCCCCCCTGCACAAACACATGCGGTAGGTCTCTGCTTTTTGTGAGTTTGGATTTTTTTAACTGAGCTGGACTCTAAGGAACTTGTGTTTGCAGATAAATGGGAAATGCTCTTGTGTAAAGAGCAGTGGAAGGATTGAGGATCCCCGCACAGCTGGGACGTGTAGGAGGGTTAAGGGCTGGTCTCACAGCCCCAGCGCTGCTGGGCTTCGGCAGACATTTGCGCTGTGCTCTCAGGCACATGCCCTGACTCCTGGCCTGTGCCAGTCTGAGAGTTGGACGCCGTGGTCCTTGTAAGTCCTGACTCGGCATATTTGAAGAGAAGTGGCTCACTTGGCTTCTGTATGCTCAGCACGTGATGAGAACTATGTTGGTAGGGACATCTGACAGGGTGATGAATGCCAACATAGCTGAGCTGGGCATGGAATGCTTCTGAGAGCCTTATCCGGGAAGGCTGAGACACCACTGGGCCTTTAGAGCAGCCAGCGTTCATGCCTGCCTGGCTTACCCGGTGATAATACACCAGAGTTAATGTTGTAGAAGACAAAGTAGTGTAGCAATCACATCCTGCTTAAAAATACATAATAGCGATTATTTTTGTGGCCTCACAAAATTTAGATTGCATCGGGGAAATCTTAAGACTCAGAGTATTTTAGGTGTTGCTTGGATTTCTCAAAGTAATATTTGTGAATATTGCATCTTTTTTGGAAGAAGAACAAAAATCTAACATGCTTTCTTGTTTTCAGTTCAACATGTATCAGCTACGCTCCTCCTTCCTGTGGCTTCAGTGCAGGTAAATATTGTTTCTGAAATACAGAGCTGAAATTAATAAATGTTGGGTTTGTGTGCACCAGCTAGACTGGAGTATCACTGTATCGAGGAGGTACAGTATCAGCAGTTGGAATTCGGGCATTGCCTGCATGTCTTGGGCAGGCCTCACTTTTCTGCTGAGATAAATGACCTGTTTATTTGTCCTGGAGTCTTCATGAGGCTCCTGTTGTTTATGAGCTATTGCTCATACTGTAATCAGACTGCAAAGAGTATGCCCAGGTCCCTTTTTTCTTTCTGCTCTTTCTTTGTTCTCAGCAGTAAATAATGTTTGGGAAAACTGCCTGGAGTATGTTGTAGAAAATGGGTAACTATGGGGATTGATGCTCAGTAAATCTCAAAGCCTATGATGGTTTCAGTATAAGAGTAGTGGACAGAAGTGATTTCTGAAAACTCCATGCTGAGGCTTTCTAATGTGATTACCAGAGAAGCTCCCTAGTTGTGCAAACATCTCCATGCAACTCTTATCTCTTTCAGATCTGCCCCCAAATGTGGAGACCTAATACTTCCTCTTCCCAAGGTAAAAAATGATTCTTGAAAATTAAATAAAAAGTTGTGCTTAGTGTTTGTCCAGACAGCATCTTCTGCTCTGATGCTGTGAGCTTAATTCCATGTGTAAAGTTACCCCTCTGGTGCCACAGTGATGACACTTATTTGCTACTCTTGACCAAGAGAGTGATGAGCACTTTTACCACCATTACAGTTTTCTGAGGCACAGCAACTTCAAATTCCTCTCAATGCTTTCACTGCTGAATAGACTGTTTACAAGTTTTTTACTTCTAGGATTTGAATCCTGCACTTCAGAGGAATGCAGAAGGAACAGCACCTGGTAAGAAATACGTACTTGTGTAGAGGTGTCTTCCACAGAGCTGTTAAAACACTGCAGTAAGAAGGATGGCATGTATTTTATGATTCATTTCCACTAAGACCAGAAACAATTTATACTTGCTAGTATTCAAACTTCTAAATATTTTTTTTTTTAATTGGGAAAATTGACTTGTCAGAGTAGTCACAAGAGGGGATTGCTTGGTTCTGTGATTGCAGAGCAGATACAGTGATGACTGCATAGTTCAGCAGAATCTGCTGTGTTGAACACTCTCGTGCTTCGCCCCTATCTGATGTATCTGGCTCTTGTGATCTCCCAGTAGGGGCTGTGGGCTTGGGCACACAGGCTGAAGGGATCTGACTTTGTTTTCCATTGTTGCAGGCACTGGGAGATTAAACTATGAGCTGTTACAGGGTAAGTACTGCATTGCTGACATCAGAACTCATTTAATCCCTGCTGTCTGCAAAGGCTGCTGTGTGATGAGTGCATAGTTCAGCAGATGACCTGTGGTGAGCACAGTTTACATATCTTCTGATGCAGCCTCCTGTAGCTTAGGCTAGTTCAAACAAATCATGTGGGAAGCTCAAGGGGATACTTTTTTTTGCTCTGTGAGTGTGTTTTAAAAATTTATCTCAGGAGACCAGTAAGTGGGTTAAACATAAAAAAAAACTTGGTAAGATGAATAGAAAGATAAGAGAGTAGGATGTGGTTGCGAAGTCAAGTACAAAATATAGCAGAATAAGGTTAATCAGGTGTTAGTGCTCCAGGTTCTAAAAGTTTCTTGTTGGTTTGCAGGTTGGCCTCAACAGAGCCCCATACCTCTTGTGTGAAAAACCATTTCACCTCTTACTGATGTGGGTGAAGACAAGGCCTTCCTAATTCAAGGTGATTAATAAGGCTTAATTTCTTAGATGGGTGCTACTTTGGTCTGTGCTGCATTTGAGTGTTTGCTTTTGGAGATGCTTGCCAATTTATTTTCTTAAAAAAGTGTGAAGCAAAGGTTAGTACTGTAAGTGTTCTTCAGCTTCCTGTGTTTCATAGTAAGAGCATCAAATAATTGTGGTGTTATTAATCTCTAGAATTGTCGTGTTGAAACTAAATGGTGAATGCCACATTACTGTGAATTTAGTGTCCAAAATGGTTATGCCTACTATGCACGACTTGGTTACACAAACCTCACATCACTGAACTCTGCAATTGCAAGGTTTGCTCCTTGCTGCAATTTCAGCATGCTCTGGAGGTGAGGAATGAACATCTCAGTGTTGAAGAGTGCTGGGAAATGGCTTTACAGCCTGCCTTCAGAAGGGGATGATAGTGTTGCAGCCTACTGTAAATGATGTTGAATCAGGTCTCTGATCCCCATGAGGAGGAATCGACCAAACCCTGATACAGTACTTGACTCAAACTGTTCTTAATGCTATAACTTCCTGCTGGACCCTGCCTAATCGCAAATTTTTCTTTCCAGGCTTCCAGATGTTTCTCACTGTGAGGTAAGTACTTGTTTTTACTTCCTAAGTATTAGGATTTCAGCATAGGCCCATAAGTTTTTAAGTGCTTGTCAGCTGGGGGGCATGGGGCCCATTGGCTGTGTCTTGCATCTCAGCCAAAACAAGAGGATATTTTAAAGGGGAGCTGCTGGCTGGAGCCCAGTCTTGACAGTCTGGTGTGCACTAAACTCATCACTGTGAGCTCCTCTTGAATTTACTATTTTAAGTATTTGCCCTCTTGCCCATAGCAGCCTAGCCCTATGGCAGGCTGCACAGGGGCTGCCAGTGTGAGCTGCCTGTGTGATGAGATGTGACTGCCTTGACTTCAATCATGGAGGTCTGTAATTAGCTCTATCTGACTGCAGGCACCTGACTTGGGTTTTGTCCTTCTGTGCTTGTTTCGGTGCTGTCCTAATGGTTTGCTTTGATGCAGGTGTGATGGAGCTGGGAAGTGAGGGACCTGGTAGTGCTGCCAGCAAAAGTAAGTTGCTAACACATGATTGTGACTGGTCAGAATTCTGTGATACAGGGAATAAGGAAATTACTCTATCCTGGCCATTACAGGGCTAGCTGCAGCATTAAGCAGGGTTCTTGCTTTTATTACCTTTTCCAGGTAAAAAGCCTGGATTTGCCAGCACCCTGCAGGATTCACTTCCCCAAGGTGTGCTGCATATCTCAAAATTAACTGCTTTCTGTGACTAAAAAGAAATAGTGGTGGCCATTTTAAATGTGTAACTGCTGTAGACTACTTGAATTCCTATTTGATAAGAAAAAGCTCTGTGCTACCAGGTTGCCACATATTCTGTGCTGAGCAAATGCAGTACAATTGCCTGCTATTGAGCTTCTTGCTGTTTAAATTTAGTGGGCTCTTTCAGGGAATGGCACTGATCTTGAATGCTTATGTGGTAAATCGTTTATCTCAATGGTTAGATCAGAGCTCTTAGGTGATGTGAATGAAGATGTGGTTGGGAGTAAGGTCAGATCCCCCTTTAAGGGGTTTGTTACAGAGATGACACCATTAAGCTACTCTTGGCATGTACTGTTTGTGATGAATTCTAAGCAATGGGAATCTCTCTGAAAGAGGCTGAAGAGAACTCTTGTGCTGAAACAGTACCCACATTCACACTCTCAAACCACTGCCAAAAGTGTGTTAGTACAATTTCCCTTTCTTACAGGGTGAAGCTTGCATGGAGTTTGAGAAACAAGAGGGATGTGCCTGAGGTAAGTGTGGAATACATGGGGTTTAAGAATTCCTGGAATATTGTCTTTGTGCTTAAACAACGATGCCCAAAATTAGTCCCATAAGATACCTGATTTGTCTTCTCTTGTATCTGTTCTGTGGGCATTACTGTAACACTGCACTCTGGAATTAAAATAAAAACATTGTGCTGTGGCTGTCGTTTGTCAAGAGTTGTTAATACTAATCTTTATATTGGCTCTACACAAATTTAGCTCAAGTTCTAGATGATTGCTGTACAAACTTGTTCTCAAACAAACTGGAACACCCCAAACACTTTCAAAAATAGAAGCCATTTTGAAAACATATTGGACTTGTATTTTAGGTATTTAAAATCATGAAATACAACATTTTTGGGACAGACAGTATCACAAAGCAAAGTAGTAGCTTTTTACTTTCCCTGATTCTTTCAATGTTAGTAATTCTGTATTTGAAGTTGTTAGGATTTGTAGGCTTTGTGTAAGTTAAACTTGTAAGATGCCAGCTAAAACTCAGTTTCCTTTTAGGTAAAAGTTAGGTGAATAGAAATGAATAGATAAATAAACTTTGCATATAGTGCTGCTGTCTGTTAAAGTACTTCTTTCTTCCTCAGGAAAGGACTATTGCTGTGTTTGCAGCCGTACTGGGTAAGTCCACACAACAGAGGAATTGTATTAAAAACTTCTGAGAATATTTGTAGCCACTGATGAAATTGATTCTGCCAAATGAGTTACTGTGATATTACCCTTTCCGTTCCATTTCTGTCTGAGGTTACAAAGCTGTTGTGGAGCTTTTAGCAGTTGTTCTGCTGCATGTGCTAACTGTGTTTTCTTGATTTAGGTGAAGAGGCAACTCAAACTAGCATACGAAGAATTGAGAAGGTGAGTGTAACTGCTGTAATAATGTATTTGTTGGAACAAGTGATGATAACCTTAGCTTGAACTCTCTCACTGAACAGAGATGAAATCTAAGGTCTGAGATGTTCCCATCAAGTGTGTTGTGCTGGTTTGGTACCTTATAACAGTTCTTATGTCTGTCTTAATAGGTGGAAGATTGCTGATGAATGGGTTACACTTGCATGAACAGCATTAAAAAAGCCAATGTGTTTTTACCCCACTGGTAATGTTTGCCTGATATTGATTGGAGTGAATAAAAATCTGTAAACTCTACCTGGTGTTGTGACCTCCTTTCTGGCTGGAACAACTTCATGCAAAACACCTCAGGCTGCTATATTTAAATTTAAAATGCTTAATTGAGAGCAGGGACTAAACTAGGCTAGATGCTAGTCTTGCAAGTGTCAACTGAGGTCAAATGCTGCTGGTGTGCAGGCTGCAAGGGACTATATTTAGACAAAAATAAGTAATTTAAGGAGTGTTTCAAGTGTTTAAGGAAAGAGCTAAACTTACTAGTATATTTGCTACTAAAGTAGTAGTCTACCAGTAATCCTGGTAATACATGTTCAGGTACAGATCCTCTCAGAACAAGTGTACAGCTTAAACTTGGTAACTCTTTTCCAAGTGTTCTGGATTTAAACAACACAACACTTGGTTTTCAAGAGGGCTAGTGCTGTAGCACTTCTAATGAGAAATAAAGCTACATAAAATTCAGCAGGCTTTTTTTTTTCACATTATTAGTGTTGCTTAGAATCTTTCAATAGGAGGAGTGAGTTTGTTATGTTTCCCACCCACCCCACATGGTAGGAGCTTTAATTACATTTTGAGATGTTCTTATCCAGAAAAGTACTTCATCCTAGACAAAATAAATTTGGACATTGTGTCCACATGTGAATTAAATCTCTTCTACACTAAAAAGCTAGTAATAAGGTCTGTTTTCATCCAGAGCTGATTAGTAGCCTCTTAATATTACCCTATGGTGTTACTTTTTAAAATACCACACTTCATTATGCCTGTTGAAGAGCTTGAAGGGACTGTCATAGCCTGCAGTATAAAAGAAGTCTTCATGGAATGGTTGGCCTCTGTTTCTTAAGGTTCTGGCCAAGGCATCAGCTTCCTCAGCATACTTCTCAGGGGAGGCAAATCCACCAAAGGACCTGGTGCAAGTGAGAAAAGGAGATGTTTTGGCCCAAGCCTCTGACTTTATTTTCACAGACAGAATGCTCAGACTTGGAAAGCAAGTTTGAGTACTTGTGCTGCAGTTTGTAGTTAGTAGATTACCCATGCAGAACTAGCAGCAAAGCAGCATGGGTATTCATGCTGTTTTTAAAGGGAAGATTTAATACAAGTAAGCCCCCAAGGAACAACTGCCTTGTGTGTTCTGTGGCAGTTCAGGACTACAACTAAAAAGGTGTTGGGAGAGCAGTTTAGATATTCTATGAAACAAAACTGTCTTTGGAAGATGATTCTGGAAGCTGTGTATCTATAAAACTCAATGCAATTTTCAAGTGTCTTCTAAAAAAATCAGTGTTTTACAACTTGGTCACTTGTTTTTGTGGTAAAACACCCAAACATAATATTGCCTGAGGGCTGGGTTTTAGCAATTAAAGCTCTGAACAGCAGCGTCTATCCACACTTAATACCTCTTAAAGTGTAGGTGACAGGATTCATGTGGTGTCAGCTGTGCTGGTTTTGCTTACCGGACAAAGAGAGCGGCCGCCTTCCGTTCCTCAATGAACACATCGGAGTCAGTGGGCTGGGGGGGGCAGTCCTGGTGTTCAAATGGCACAAAGAAAGAGATCTTGAAGTCTGTGCAGCCTGATTTCACCAGGCAGGTCACTGGCACAGTCATATCAATCTTCATTTCTAGAGGAAAGGAAAGCCAGGTCTCTAAGCTGCATTTCCCAGCTCTATTGATCATTATTATTTGTGTTCATTAGCTGCTTTTTAATTCTTTCTATTCAAAACCAGCATGTCCTACCTTTTTCATTCTTTCCCTGGATGTAGTGGAAGAGTTTCCAGAAGCCCTGGCGCATTGCTTCCTTCTGGGTTTCCCCCCTGATGACTGTGCTGACCCACTTTGCTGTCTCGTACTGACGCAGTTCGTAGTCCTTTGCCTGAAAGGTAGCAAAAGTCACAGTAACCATGAGATGGGTGTTGGCAGAAATTAGTAGCCACTTTTTCCAAATCAGCATACAAGTATTGCTGCAGTTACCATTGCCTCTGCTGAGCTCCAGCGAGGGGACTGCAGGTCCAGGGACAGAAATGTTTGCTTGAAGGACTTGATCATCTTGCCGGAGCTGGAAGGCAGACACAGTTCATTGGCATCTCTTACCTTAATATGGCACCAGGGCTTTTCAGTTGTTGCTGAGCTGGTGGAAGGCCTGAAAAAGGCTGAAAGCTGTTGAGCCCTGTAGGAATTGAGCACTAGGACCAAGAAACTACCTCTGCTGGAGGAAGTGTTCTTTCAGCATATGCTGCCCTTGCTTCTCCATGGCAAAATGTATTTCCTGACAGCAAAGTGGGATCCTGCAAGTGGGAGTTTTGTGGAAATCTGTAAGTCAAAAGGACTTCAGTCTGTTTGCTCCTGGATGAAAAAGCAGTAGTGGTGTGGTGGGTGATGTGGTGTTGACTGCTCTTAACTTTATTTGGCCTCATGATAGCTGATGGCTTTCTTAATGACTTTCAGCCTCAGAGTCCTGTGAATAAATGAGATTTTCTGCATTTCTGAATTAATAACTGTTTCCTTGATAGCCTTCACATGGGAGGAAAAAAGGTGAAAACTCAAAAACACTGTTCCAAACAAAGCGAGTGAAAATATTTAAAGCCAGTGTTGAAATAATCAGATCTTGTAAAATGCTGAGATTTTAGTGGCCTCCATATACGACTTCTGTTGTTAACCAGGCAGACAGTAGCGTATGATGTACGTTCTGACAGTCTCTGCCTTGTGTTATATTACCATGTCCATCACTTGTTGTGAAGAGCACATAATTCAGTGATTATCTGGATTCTTAGGCCATAGAATGTCTTCTCAGACTGTAGCTTAATTACCTGTTTCTTGGGTAACAAATGTGAATTTTCTAAAATCAACTGCATTATGCTACTTAACTACTTTCTTGGCTGTTACATCTTCTTGCAATACCTGGACTACTGTTGAATTCTGTTAATCCCCTTCTGTACCCTGCCTAGAGGTGACTACAAAGAGTTCTTGGGATCTGAGGTTGAAAAGTTTTTATTAAAGCACACCATTAAAAAAAGGCCACAAACCCTGGTGGTACTGGGTTCCTTTAGAGTCTGTAAAATAAGTAGTATGTGGAGCCACTTCAGTGTTGAGCTTTTTCCAGCAGCTCCTTCAGTTGTCACCACAGATCAAGGGAAGGTCAGAATCAAACAGCTGGCTACAGCTGCTGGTAGTAAAGGCAGGTGCTGTTCCCTTCCCTGTCCAGCCTGAAGGTACATCATGTCCAGCAGACCTGACCAGAATGATGGTCACCAGGGGCTGCTGCACAGTTGTACTCCATGAATAGACTTTGTCTGTGGTGTTCACAAATCAACAAAGCATCATAAAGCAGGAATCCTTATCGTTAGAAGCAAGTACGAGCAATTACACTGAAACTTCCTACAAAAATTTATTGCCACTTGAAAGACAATGCTGCTGCTTCACACTTGTATTAGCTACTGAACGAGCTGTTTTCTCTTTCCTGGCTAATTCCAGCTGCTTCCAACATACCTTTCCATAGCTACTGGGTAGACCTCACAGCTCTGCATTTTGTAAGTTCATGGCCAGTACTGTCAGTGACTGCACGTTAGAAATATTTTTTTTAATTACATAAAGCAATGCTTTGGCATCAGAGGGACAAACAGAAGAATCTTCCAGATACAGTTGAATTTTTTTAGATGTACAGGAAAGCTGAACTTTGAAATGTCCATCTATTCATATAAATATGTCTATAGGGTGTTCACTTTATTTTCTGCAGACACATGGGCCAAAGGAAAGGCAGCAGGTTACACTGCTAGCACAAGTAAGTACAGCCAGAACATGCCACTCCACAAACTACTAGTGCTGTTAAGGACATGGAGAAGGTAGACATACTTACAGTTTCAGTCCTTGTCCTTCCAGCTGTTGCAGTGTGTCCTGTGGAGGCTGCACATCCTCGTAAGATGCTGCATGTCAGTGTTTATTTGAGTTTGGGCAAGCTCCTCCCATGCCTCAACCCTACTGGAGGGGGCTGCTGTTATGAAAACCAGAAGGCTGGAGCCTTGTCCTGCTCTGGGTCTCATTGGAGAGCCCCCACGCAAATGCCAAAGGCCCCACCTACTATCCACAAGGCAACACTGGGGCTAGTGTGTGATCTGGCTCCATAAGCAATTTTGCACCCTTGTGTAACTTCCCCTGTTTGCCGTGGCTGTGTGCCCACTTATGACAGGGTCAGTGGCAGGTTTTGTGCTTTAGGAGAAAGGATTTCACATAAATAATGTGTCTCTTTCCCCCTCCTGACTTGGATTATGGGAGAGTGGTGCTATACAGAATGCCAGCTTTTCCTTTTTACCACAGGGGTGAAGGGTAGGTAGAAATCTGGCTGCACACTCTGCTGAGACCATCCTCACGAGATTTTTGCTGGCATGTTATGAAAGATAGACAGTGTTCTCTGATGGCTGGCTGTTCTGAGCGGTATTTGAGGTTAATCAGCCCTCTTAGCCCTTGGATATCTGCACAAAGGGGTTATACAAAGCTATTGTGAAATCCTGTCCTGCTTATAATACACACAGCGAAGCTGGGCTCTTCATTTAGCCAGCTGCAGCTCCAGACATAGTTTGGTACTAGCACAATAGGGTAGATTAAACTGCACAGTTTGTGTTCTGAGAACACCTCTCAGTTTGTCATGGTTTGTGCAAATTCCTTGCAGCCAAATTCAGCTGAGCTCTCAGGGACATTTTACATCAATAGCTGGGAATGACTTTTAACAGGAAACCCACTTTGCTTGCGGAGAACTTCATCAGGATGCTGTGTGATACACTCCTGTTCAAAAAAGGAAAGTAAAACCATGCCAAAAAGCAATTGTGAATTTATCTCTAAAGCCACAAATCTCTCCAGAGCCACAGAAGAGGGTCATTTGCTACTGGAGTTTATTCGGACAGATTGAGGCCTGAAATGTGTAACCACTTCTCTGCATGCTTTGTACTTTTTATTTTACAGAGTATAATACTTCTCCATTTTACCTGTGCTCTGCTTGGGTCAAACAGGAACAGCAGGAGTGTGTTTGGAGGAGCAGAAGCTGCTTGGTCTTTGCTCAGGAGCCATAGGCATGCAAAGTCATGGGCTGGGGTAAGGTGAGCTATCACCTTACCCTGTCACCCCAGGGATGGAAGTGTTTTTGAATACCTCCAGATATGAAAAACAATACCCAGCAAAAATAGTTTGGCAAATCTCTACAAATTTACCCCCATGGTGAGCACTGAGGTGTATTACCTTGGAAGGGGGACAATAACTCTGTAGATAAAGACAAGCCCACAGTGGATTCTCATTTGGTTTCTGAAGCAGAGAGGCCCAGAACAAACCCCCAGTGAGTTTGTGTGTGTCCAGCTGATGTCCCTGACAAAGAGTTGACTGTTCCTGATGGAGCACCCCCAGGCTGGAGAACAATCCTCAGTGTTTTCCCAAGAGGTTGTTTTCCAGCACTCTTGTTTTTACACATAAACATTGAGCGAACATGTCAACAGCTGCATGAGACAGTAGGGCAGGCATGGGGACATGTATTCTGTTTATATACATTCCAAAACTTAGAGAATGGGGATGGGAATATGGAGCAACCTGACACACATTATACAAAGTACATAAACCTGACACACAATACCTTCAGATACAGGAAAATCCAAGTACATAGCAGCCATTAAGTCTCAAAGGTTCTGTGACTTTTGACCTCTGTGCAATGTCATAAATATGTGTTTGGGACTTGGCTGGCATTTTCCAGAACAGCTAACAAAGCAGTATTTTTCTGTTCCCTTGCCTTCAGGAGCAGAGATGAGGGCACAAGCAGATAAAAGCATGTGGTTTGTACCTTAATTTTACTGTCTTCATCTGTGCAGGAGCACTCTAATGAACTGGTACTTAAATCATAACTTTGATTGGATAAGGACAAGGACAAGCCTGTGATATGATCACTTGTGATTTTCATTTTTCCTCCCTGTAACAAGACCTTAAGCAACATTCTCCACAGCAAAACTGCTTCCATCTGCTGTGTGGCAGCATTACAACTGCTGCTGTCACATCAGTGCAGTTGTGTTCTAAGTTACCTTTATCCCTAGAGGCAAGCACAGACTGTGTGCACAAGCAGGGATCTTTTCCACTGACCTAATTGTGTCAGGACTGGAGGAACCCAGGAAAAAAGTGTGTTGTTAACAGTGTGGTTAATGATAACTCTGAGTCATGTTCTCGTCCCTGGTGAGTCTGTAGTGTGATATGAAGAATGGGGGTGTGAGGGGCAGACAGGGATGTGTGGCCACTCACATATTGTATCAAGTGGTCTCAACACAGAGATCCAGGCAGTTTTGCATTGCTGCCTAAGTCTGTCAGAGAGTCTTTGACACATATTTTAATTGAAAATAATTGAGTCTCTCCACATATAAATGGGCTTTACTTTTGTAAACATATGCTCATCTGATGGTGCAGAAACCTCACTTCACAGCAAAGGACTTGAGCATGTGATGTGACTGTAGTTACTGTCCATGGCAGCAGCAGTGTCCTTTTATGTTGTTAGATGAACTGTGGTTTACTGCAGATTCATCTCCCAAAAGAAGCCTCTTACTGCCTTGCTCTAAAGAAAGCCTCCATTTTATATCATAATCTCACTCCCAGCATGGAAAATGAACAAGCAGAAACACACCATCTTCTAAAGTAGCAGTTGAATGTACTGTAGTACTGTTCCAAGGAGGTTCCTTATTGCTCTTAGAAATTGTGGAATGGAAATCTATGCCATAACTGCAGTGAGGTGGTATTTAGGCCTTTTGCTCTGACCTACACATTTCATATCATCAGGGGAATTTGTTACCATTGGATTCACCTTCAGCCAAAAATAATCTGCTTTCTGGAAATGCGTATGTGGATTTTGTCCATGTTTTTGCCTGATTTCAGCTAGTTTGTTACAAGTGATGTGAAACTACTGCATCTTCCTGCTTACTCAGTGACAGTGTTACCTAAATCTTGATGAATGAGTGATTCTGTGCTCACTTCATCAGAGAACACATAGAACTGGCTGCTCTTGGCCAAATAAAAAGCTTCCTACACCAAACACCACTCCAGAGCACTCCTGACTTGGCATTTTCCAGGATTTCTCTGCTGAAGCTCACATTTTGAAACCATTCCAGGTTTGGGGAATTAATCCTAAATGAATCCTTGCTTCCAGCAGCCATGAAAAACATTCTTAAATCTTCCTGTCTTCTGTGCATGGAGCCCAGAGAGAAGCTATTTCAGCTTTATATACTGCTTTATTCACTGATTTATTTCTACAACAGGGCTTGTTTTTACTATGGAGCTGTTCTGGGATCTAGCTAGAAACTGAAGTCCACAAGCAATTGTCTCAGCAAACTTTAGCCTGTGAAAGAAGTTACCTAGATCCACAGAAACTTCCAGTCCTCTCTGAGTGCTGAGAGGAAACGAATTCATCTTCCCCTCCAAATTATCCACATTCTGTTATTGACAGATTTTTCTCAGAAACAAGAACATGAAAAAAGGTAAGTTTTTATCTTCAAGATAGGAATGTCTCATAAAGGGAAAGCGGTAACAGTGCTTGGTAGAAAAAAAGTCTTGACACAAATTTATTGCATTGCTGGTTTTGCTTTTTTAAATGGTTTTGAAGAGACTTAAGTCTAAAATGTGATAGAATACAACTTATCTGGAAACAGCTCTGAAGAGGCAACAGCTGTCTGGGCAGAAACACAGTGGGCTCTGCATTTTCTTTCTTTGATCCCCCTTCCCAGAGTTTTAAAGTGATCTTTTCCTTCTCTTGTTCTTTACCTGTTTTGGCCTCCTCCTTCCCTTCCTCTCTCCCTCTCTCTCTCATTTCTCAGCCTACTCCAGTCTATATGCTGCATGCACTGAGACCACCTGGCAGATCCTCTGGCAAGGACCTGAGTTAAGCTCCTGACTCTGCTGAGGGGTTGTTCTGAAATTGTGAGAACAGCCCCACGTGCCTGAAAAAGACCCTAATATGCAGGAATTGCCCTTGAGAGCTCAGGATTTCCCTATGTAGTCCCAGGAGCCTGAGGAGAATATGTCCAGACATGATGGAAACAGGCTCAGAGAGAATGAATTAATATGTTAAAGAAATATTTTCCTTAAAATAATTTCCACTTCCAAAAAGGCATGAAGAGGTAACTGGAACTGAGGGTTTGTCTCCTAAGCTTCTTCCTCCTCTTACTGGCATGAGTGTGGTTCACATCAGAACTCTCCCATCATCTAACAGTGGGGATATTGCTAGTGGGTGTGGGGTTTTGGTGAGCACTTCTGTTCTTTAGATGATGTGAGTGAGGCTTTCAGAGATGGATTTTTCAAGAGCCTGCTCTCTCCCTGTGTGTTCCCAGAATGAGCCAGTGCTGCACTCTGCAGCAGGTGGCACTGTTGGCTGTGTTCAGAGGTGAGCTTTCCTTGAAGAGGAACATCCCTGATCCTCTCTTGGTTGCTAGTGGTCACTTGGGCTCCAGTGCACCCCTATAGTTCTTTCTATTTCTAGAGACATAAATTGGATTATGTTCTTGTTGACTGCTAATGGGAAAGCATCTTAACAGCTAAAAAATTAATAACTTGGCATGTTAAGACATCTTTCATGTGACAGACACAGCAACCTGAATCAGGGAATCACAGAACTGTTCGTGTTGGAAGGGACTTTAATGAGCTTATGTTCTGACTCCCTGTCAGGGAATGTCTGTGTAAGACTGTTAAGAAAATGCTAAGTTAGGAAAATCCTCCAGGTTATGTTTAGCTCTAGAACAGTTAAACTGGCAAGTTTTCAGGTGGAATCAACGGCAAACTTAATAATTTAAAATGAAAATTTCATATCCAGGAGGTCAGTATTTATTTTGATTTTTGCACATTTACATTGAGAGTAGAGTAAATGTAGGTAGCTAGGTAGATACATACATACATACATACATACATAATGATATCACATCAACTCCCCAGCTGATTTTCTGAATACCAGCCAGCCATGATGGTATTTAACAGAATTTCATCACTTTAGCAGGTACTGGCTTTCTGAATTTTCATTGAAGCTTCAGTACTTCATATTTCTCTGGAAATAGACTTGGGTCTGTCTTTGAAAGAAAATTATGTCTGGTTGCATTTGTTTATTGCAGAGAAAAAGAGGCAAGACTGTAGTGTAATTATACCAAACCAGAACTCCCCTTGAGAAATGTGATAGCTGAGATGTAAAAGCTGTATATTAGTAGAGAGAACTGTGATTTGGGGAAAGTAGAAGTAAAGGACAGGGGTGCTAAGTTGTGGTCAGTGTATTGGAAAGTAATGGAAAAGTTAATACAGCAACAACAAAAAGTCTGAAGGAAACTTCTCAGCTCTGAGGTGCCGAGAAGAGGTTTAGAAGAGCTAAAGGAATTTAGTGCTTTACAAGAGTTCTGGCGCATTTCACAGGACTTCAGGGCTGATCAGAACAGTCTGTAGGATGCTTAGATCAACTTAGAGCAGTTCAGAGTGGTTTTAGAGGGCATCAGAAGAATTTTAGCACTGTCTCTGACCAGGAATTCCAGAACTGCAAAAAAAGAGTTCTAGAGCAGTTGTAAGGAAACTGAGAAAGGCTTGAGATCTATTTTGAAGCATTTTACTGCTACTTTAAGCCTCCTGTAGTAGTGTTTAGAGGATTTTCAAAGTGGGAATTTTACAGAAATGTAGAACTTCTCATTGTCGTTTGTAGCCAATTAGAATTGTTTTAGAGCTGTTGAGATGGGTTGTAGAGCAGTGTGGTGCATTTTAGAGCTCTTTAAGCTTTCTGTAGTATTGTGGAGCTCTTTAAAGAAGTCCACACTGGTTTAGGACTCTGGAATATTTTAGGATCCGATTTTGAAAGGTATAACTTAGGGGGTGTAATAATAGCTCTTTCAGAGCTCATCAGAGGTGTTTTGTAGCTGTGTAGTGGTATTTTAGAGGGGTTTAGAGCACCTCACATCATATTAAAGGACATTTAGAGGTCCTTAGAGGAGTTTAGGAGGCCCAGAGGAAATTCACAGACCTTCAAATCAATGCAGAGGAGTTCTAGATAGGATCAAAAAAAACCTCCTGAGAGGAGGTTTAGAAAGATGCTAGTGAAGTTGAGAGGACTCAAGCACTCTACGAAGGGATATTACAGCTCCTCAGAACTACTTAGTGTGCCTTTGAGGAGTTCTGGAGGAATTTGGAGCAACAACACTACTACAGGATGCTTAAAGTAGCAGTAAAATGCTTCAAAAGAGATCTTTGGCTTTCTGAATTTTCATTGAAGCTTCAGTACTTCATATTTCTCTGGAAATAGACTTGGGTCTGTCTTTGAAAGAAAATTATGTCTGGTTGCATTTGTTTATTGCAGAGAAAAAGAGGCAAGACTGTAGTGTAATTATACCAAACCAGAAGTCCCCTTGAGAAATGTGATAGCTGAGATGTAAAAGCTGTATATAAGTAGAGAGAACTGTGATTTGGGGAAAGTAGAAGTAAAGGACAGGGGTGCTAAGTTGTGGTCAGTGTATTGGAAAGTAATGGAAAAGTTAATACAGCAACAACAAAAAGTCTGAAGGAAACTTCTCAGCTCTGAGGTGCCAAGAAGAGGCTTAGAAGAGCTAAAGGAGTTTAGTGCTTTACAAGAGTTCTGGCACATTCCACAGGACTTTAGGGCTGCTCAGAACAGGCTTAAAGTAGTAGTAAAATGCTTCAAAAGAGATCTCAAGCCCTTCTCAGTTTCCTTGCAACTGCTCTAGAACTGTTCTTTACAGTTCTGGAATTCCTGCTTAGAGACAAAACTCTTTTGAAGCCCTCTAAAACCACTCTGAACTGCTCTAAGTTGGTCTAAACATCCTACAGACTGTTCTGAGCAGCCCTAAAGCCCTGTGAAATGCGCCAGAACTCTTGTAAAGCACTAAACTCCTTTAGCTCTTCTAAACCTCTTCTCGGCACCTCAGAGCTCCCCTAAACTGACCTAAAGCTGCTCTATATTGCTGTAAGCACCACTAATATGTCTTTAAATGCAACTAAAATGCCTCTAAATCTCTGCTGTACAACTCTCAACTCCTGCAGGCGGCTTTAAAATTCCTCTGAGGAGCTCAAAACAGCTCTAAAACCCTTTTATGCCAATCTGTGACTCCTACAGGGTTCTAAGTAGCTCTAAACCTCTCCAGGCTACTCTAAAGCTTCTCTCCTGTGCTGTCAACACTATGAAGTAGCACTAAAATTGCATTAAAATACTAAAGAAATATTGAGGACTTCCTCTAAATGGCTCTGTAGAGCACTGGATTGTCTGTGAACTTCCAGAAATACGCTGGTGATTTGGGGAGGTGGCAGAGGTTACAAGAGATGGAATTACTGAGCCTGGAGAAAGAGGAATTACCTGTGGGAATGGAGGAGTGTAGGGAAAGGGGATTTCTGCAGGAACAAGATGACTCTCTAAGGGAAATGTATGTGCTGTGTAAGGAGCTGTTAATAAGGCAAAAACCCAGAGGGTGATCTCTGCATGCAAACAGCCCACGGTGAGCATATTTTGGGGTGGAGGAGGAATACCACAGCCCCAAACTCCTGAGGTTATTATGTGAATCCATGGAAAATGTGCTCCTGAATCACACAACAGGGGATTGTTCTCTCTGCAGGCACTGGGTGCTCTCAAAACACGCTCTAATGGAAGATCTGAAAGTGCACACTAAAAACAATTTTTTAAAATATTTTTGGAAGTTTATTGCTATGGATCTGTTCAGGGCAGTACCTTGTCTTAGGGGATGCTAGTAGTCTGCTGGGAGCAGATTTGAAGCCTGGCCCAGCTGCAGTTCTGGTGGGATGGGGAAGGTTGTGCTGTGCATGACTGCCATGGAGCCCACACCCCACAGTGCACGCATCTGGTAAAGCCACATGTTGGGCTGCATGCAAGGAGCAGGAAGCCTGAGCTCCGTTTGCCTTTCTCACACAGGGACATGGATCCGTCTGTGTGTCCCAGAGCAGGGACACTGCACTGCTGTTGGGAGTGCTTCCAGCACCTCGGCAGGACTGTGAGGACTTTGGGTGAGATATTTGAAAGAGCTTTCTCTGTGTGAGGGTGGGCAGGCCATGGCACAGGGTGCCCAGAGAAGCTGTGGCTCCCCTGGATCCCTGGAAGTGTCCCAGCCCAGGCTGGACAGGGCTTGGAGCAAGCTGGGATAGTGGAAGGTGTCCCTGCCCATGGCAGCGGGTGGCACTGGGTGACTTTTCAAGGTCCCTTCCAACCCAATTAATTCCAAGATTTTGTCTCCATCCTGTTATTTGTTATTATTTAAATATTCATTTATTTATTTTTATCTTGAAGTTTGCAGATAATTACGGATACCTCAAACCAGCCTTATCTCTTGCACACAGCATGGGCAGTAGGAGCCCGTGGGGGTCGCGGCAGTGCTGAGGGGCCACGGGCGGCCGCGGGGCAGGCAGGGGATGGGCTGGACAGCGCAGGCTGGGTGGGGATGGGCTGGACATGGGCAGGCTGATGGAGGAGGGCGTAGCTGGGCTGGGCTGAGCAGGGCTGGCTGTGCGGCTGTCGGCTGCCGCCGCTGTCCCCGCCTCCTGGCCGCCTGGCCGGTCCCGCGGGGCAGTGGCGGCTGGCCGAGGTGAGGGGGAGCCGGGCAGAGCCCCCGCCGCCCGCACCCCGGGAATGGCTCGGGCCGCTCTCTCAGAACCGCCCGGCTGCACGGCCCGCGGGGCTTGGACCCTTCCACAGAAGATATGCTAATCCCGTTTATACCTTTTTTTCCAAACAGCTCGATGGCACCCCCAAAGAAGTTAAAGGGTCTGGTAGCTGCTACCATCACTCCAATGACTCCGGATGGGTGAGCTGTCAAAGTTGCACTGATTATTCTTTCCTTCCACCCCTATTTTCCTTCTTTCTTATTTGGAACTGGTCTGCTTGCTTTCTTGCCTGTTTTGTTTTGTTTGTTTGTTTATTTGAATTTTTTAAAATCAATCTCTGATGGGACTGGGTGTACTACTAAATTGGTCCCAGAGTGAGATTCCCCTGTCTCTGCTTCCTTCTGTTGCCAGCAAGTACTATGGCTTTGGGTTTGGAGAGTTTGGATCAGTCTCATACCTACCTCCTTTTGTTTTCTGTTGCAAATTAAATCATAGCACAGTTACATGTGTAAAGCATTGCAGTGTTTTCACATTTGTTAAGGAAAATTACAGTCCTGGTTACAAAGAGCTCTCCAGAGCTAGAAAATAATTGTCAGAATCTGAAGGCCTTTTAGACTTCTCTCTATCTTAGCTAAGTCATGCATGCAGTCATGTGTGTATGAGTGCATGAAATTAGTCTAAACTTGAAAATACTGCAAGGACAGCACAGTTCTGAAAATAACATCAAATTGAAACTTGAAATTCAGCTTTCTTCAGAGCAGGCGTGGCAAACAGAAGCCTTCTCACTGCATTTTGATGTTGCAAGACCAAGTTGTTTGGAGTCAGCAGAGAGCCCTGAGCTCTCATGGGGGGTGTGCCAGAATCTGTACATGCTTTTGAGAGAGACAGTGGAGATTTGCCAGTACAGATCTCCAAAAATGAACTTTACTTCAAGTGCTGAAAAATAAGCCTCCATCCCAGTCAGGGAACTCATTCCATTGCAGTCACTGCTTTGATTCTTGCTTTAAAGGAAACTTGCTTCTGATTTCTTTATTTTTTTTTATTATGACTCAAATTTATTGCAACATGGTATTTAGAGAGTGACCTGACCCTCTGCCTGGACTGCATGGTCCTTGTCAGATATGTTCTGGGAAGGTATCTGTGGAATTTTGAATGTTGTGTACAACCTATCAAGGCATCAGAATTGACTTCCAGACAATAGGTTTGTATTTTTGACAAATGAAAACAACAGTGAAAAATGATACTCTAGTAAACAAAACAAGTTTGTCTTGCATAGAAGATAACCCAAGAATTCTCTTTCCCCTCTTGCTGGGGAATTCTGTTGCTCTCCTCATCCTTTAATGAGAGAGAGAGGTCAAAGTCACATCCAGCGGATGCCGTTTCCCTCTCTGTATCCAGCAGTTATAACCATCCAGCAGTTTAACCATTTGCCAGCACTTGCACAAATAACTTTGTGCTCTCAAGAGGACTCTTGTTTCCCTCAAAAGAGGAAGAGGTTTTAGTGTCTCCTGTTCTCTCACATCTCCTAAAAAACTCTTTGCTCTGACAAGCCTGCAGCAATTCCTAATAAAAGTTTGGAACAGTGAACTACTTGTCAGAAGGAAGAGAAACTGCAAGAGAGAATTCAAGGCTGAGCTGCCACCTTCAGATGTTAAAGAGATGTCAAGGATTTCTTACCTCTGGGTAATCTGTGTGTGTACAAATGCAAGGCTTCAAAATGCATGGGGGTTTTTTTTGGTTTCTTAATCACTAAGTTTAAAATAGCTTGAACTTAGTGAGTGGGTGGGGACTTAATGGTTGCTGTGGTTCCTTTTATTACAGAAAAATAAACCTGCCGGTGATTCGTCAGTACGTGGATTACCTGGTAAACGAGCAGAATGTGAAGAACGTTTTTGGTAAGTGACAGAAACTGTGTCACAGCCCTTTTACCTGGATGGGTGTCCTGTGATATCTTACCTGATAGGAGCTCTAGTGGGAGGGAATGTGGATGTGGGATCATGCTGGCCATTTTTACTCACCAATGGAAAGACTGCAGGCATCTGGTTTTGCCCACACCCCATTTCTGTGGGGGAAAAAATAAGGTGCCTTCTTCATAAGGTGACATTCCCAGAGATGAATGGATAATGTTCTGTTGACAGAGAAGACTGATCTGAATCATCCCAACTCAAAAATGTTAGTTCTTGTCTTCAGTGAAACCGATGTGTGTAGGTGAGGCCTCAGCCAGTGTGTTGTGTTTTGTTGTGTTGAAACAGTGAATGGCACAACAGGAGAAGGCCTATCCCTTAGCATCCAGGAGAGGAAGCAGTTGGCAGAAGAATGGATGTGCCAGGGAAAAGACAAGTAAGTAACTGAGAGGGAATGGGGGGTTCCAGATCTTATGTTGTAATAATGCCTGATTGCAAAACGAAGTGTGCTGATGCCTTTTTTTTTTTTTTAATATTGTGTTGCTGGGCTTTGTTCCTCAGCTCCTTTATCACAGAAGTATGTTTTTGCCACTGTCAGTTAGCTGGTGTGTGTTCCTGCTGCTTAGAGAGCTTGTGAGAGTCCTTCTCTTTGGTACCCTGGGAGGTGGGAGGATGAGACACGGCTTTGGAAAGAAGGGCTGCCCCCTTTGCTTCCTCTTGAGAAGAAATGCAAATAAAGAGCATTTCTGAACCTTTTAATGTATTGCATTATTTGGTGTGACTGAAGCTGATGTGTGAAGCACTTAACTGCTTCCCTAAAGGTACAGAATTAGTAACAGAAGAAAGAATTCAGTCTGGATTTGCAGCTGTGTATCCAGTTGCAGCTTCATTCTCCCTTTCTTGTACCAGTCACAGCCTTGTACCCCTCACTGCTGCCTTTCTCTTGGATGCTGGGTCAGAGGATGTGCAGAGGAGGAGGTGTTTAGGGGGAGAAGGATAATGAGAAGTAAACTGGGGTGAAGCATCACAGCTTTCAGATCCACAGCCTTTATTTCCATGTCTCCTGTGATATAAAAGAGAAAAACAGCAGTGGGGTTGATGGACTGGAGCATGGAGGATTCCCTTTGCAGGAGCAGACAAGCAGTCAAAGGTGCTGCTGTGAGGTTGAACTCTTCTGGTAGGTTTGCAGAGAAATAGGTTTAGAAAGTAAAGATATTACTTTGATTTCCTTTATGCTTCCCAGCCTCCCCTTAAATCCCTTATGTCTTAATTTCAATTTCCTCATAAAATGCTAAGATTCATCCCTCCTGATAGCCTTGCAAACACTACAGCAAAAAGTCCCATGTGACTCACGTTTACAAATGTGTTTTCTTTCTTCCACCACCAGCACTCGTCACTGTTAGCATTTTCTCCATGTTTCTGGTCATCAGGTCAAGCCAGGCTCAACTCTTTTTTTTAGGTTCTTCTTCTGTGGCTGCCTGGGCTGAAGCAAGTAATTCTGGCAGCCTGGTAGTTCATCATCACTGAAACCTCCCCAAAATCTTCTGAATTTGTTTTTTTTTGTGCAGATTGGACCACGTGATCATTCATGTGGGAGCACTGAATCTGCCAGAGTGCCAAGAGCTGGTGTGTATAGATTTTTCACTCTGTGTGTGATAAATAGAAGCGGTTTTACACTCAGATACCTTCCACTCTGTCTTTTGTAGGCAAGACATGCAGCAGCCATAGGTGCTGATGGCATTGCTGTCATAGCCCCCTTCTTCTTCAAACCCACAAACAAAGGTGAGTAGATGTGATTGATGAGGCCTTTTTATTGCCCTCCCAACACTGGTCATAGATAAAGGATGAATGTAATGTACTTTGGAAAATATTCTGATGATAATGTTTGCACAACTGTAATGGAAAAGCAAAACCTGCAAGAAGCATTTTTTAAAGAGGAGGGATAGCAGAATTGTCCTGGTAAGAAATGGGAAGGATGTCTTTTGGGATGTATTTTGTTAGCCTTTTGTAAGAAGAAGAAGAATTGCTTTTGGAAAGAATGGTCTAGTTAAACAGTCTGTGTTCTGAATGGATGGTTTGGTGTTCATGCTTGACCTGGGCCACACTAGGAAGAAGCTGGTTCCATGGTGACCCTTGCTGGGCACTGACCAAATTAAGCAACAGCTGATACACTGGCGTGGTTCTTGTTACTGAGGTGATCAGGATTGGTTCTGTCTGTCTAAGATTACCTCAAAACCTGAAAACTGAGTATTTTGTCCTTAAGATCCTGACAATAACATAAAAGAACCACATGAAGTGGGGGATTGTAAAAGAAATATTAAAAGTTGTCTGAATGAATTCTGATTGGAAATGTTTATATGAAAGCACCATGCCCCAGGGAGGTGAAAGTGAACTTGATCCCTTGTCCTCTGTTGCACACAAGGGATCCTGCTGAGGCACACAGGTCTGGCACATGTGAGAGCATGCCTGAGTTACACCTGTAAGAGAATGAGCAGGAGCTGCTGAAACTGGTTTGGTTTAAAAGAAATACTGTCTTTGCCTTTCTTAAGATCCTCCCCTGATTTATGTCACATTTAATGTTTTGACATGTGAAGGGTTTTGTATGACTTGCTGTGTGTGTGCACAAGCTGAGGCCTCTCCACAGCCCCTGTGCTGTGAATCTGAACTGTGTCTCCCGATGGATGGTCTCCTTCTCTTATGGGATCCCTGCTGGTTTCCTTCTAGATGAGCTGGTTGCTTTCTTACAGAAGGTTGCATCTGAAGCCCCTGAGGTGCCATTTTATTACTATCACATTCCTCCTCTGACAGGTGTGAAGAGTAAGTACAGAGTACAGATCTTTGGTGATTTGCTCTGGAAAGCAGGTTCTATGGTGTTTCTGAAAGCATGGATGTATATTTAGTCTTAATGTGTTGCTGCTGGTTCATTCCTAAACTTTTTCTGATCTGGGAAAAGAATCTTACTCTTTGTTGTCTCACTTGTTGTTTTAGAGCTGTACACTTTACTGGGCTTAGGCTGAAAGTGAACAACTTGTTAAATATGAAGTCTTTCTCTTGGGGACAAGGCAGGGAACTGTCCCAGAACAGGCCTGTGTTCCCTCATATGAGATTGCTGTTCTGGACAGTTCGTGTGGAAGAGTTGCTGGATGGGATAAAAGCACAGATCCCCACCTTCCAGGGTGTGAAGTTCAGTGACACGGACCTCTTGGACCTGGCACAGTGCATCCACAAGAATGGAACAGGGGAGTTTGAATTTCTTTATGGGGTGGATGAGGTAAGAAGCTTCTCTTAAAAGTATTTTCTTGTAAGGTACTCTCTTGCTTCAGCCTTGGGGAAGAAGTAACCCTGAACACTCAGTGCAAGGCAGTTTTGTTGCTCCCTCCCACCACCCTTTTTTTTCCTTTATTTTATTACATGAAATAAAATTTTATTACTTTTTTTTTCCTCCCTCCACCCCAAACTAGCAACTGTTGGGTGCACTGGCACTAGGGGCAAATGGAGCAGTTGGAAGGTCAGTATGTCTTGGACTCCTTCCCCTCACACATACACTGTGCTGTTTTATCTTCCACTATCTGCATAGTATTTCCCTGACTGTTTTCAGTCACAACAGTGGAGGATTTTGCAGGATAGGGATGTACAGAAGCAAACAGACACATAATCTAGCCCCAGTCCTAGTGATGGGACAGTCATATAACCTAGGATCTCAGATTTTGTTCCTTTGGGTGATCATTGCTGTGGTTTCTAAGCTGACCCAAAGGCTTCAATGTACTTTTTATCCTCATGGCAACTTTTGAAGTAGGTAATCACTTCTATCTGCATTGGGTGAGGAACCAAATCCCAGAGAGGTTAAAATTGTTAGTTCATATGAGCAGTCTGTGAGGAAAAGGGCTGTGCTGAGTTTCATTTCTAATTTATCCTCTGCCCCTCATATCAGGCTGATGAGATGAATTAGTGTGTGATACCTGTGTTCCCATCTAGGCAATCCATTAAATGAACAAGCAACTGGAAAATTAAGTGATTGACTTTCCTTATTGCCCAATGATGTATCTTTATTTTTCGTTTTGGAAAGCAGTTCCATTTGGAAAGAACTGGGAAGAGAAATCAGCTCTCTTAATTCTTCCATGGAGCTTGGCATACTTCAGATGCTTGGCATTAGATTGCACCCCACATAAATTCCCCTAATTTCTCTCATAATAATGACAATGTCAACAGCAAAAGCCTGTGGTTACTTCTTTTGTTTCACTGGTTTTAAGTTCCTTCTTTGCATTCACCAATTCTATTTTTGGTTGGTTTTTTTGACAGTACATACAACTATTTGGGCCGACAAACCAATCTGATGTTGCAAGCCTTTGCAAAGCCAGACTTTGCCTTGGCACAGCAGTATCAGGTACAGCATCTTCCCAGGCATCCCTGGGAGCAACCTTCTTTCTCTTTGAGCTTTACTGTGGCTGTTCTCCATGTGGTTCTCTCATCCATACTGAGGCAGCTTTATCAAAGAAAAATTCTTTCATCTCCGACTCCCCTTTTTGTTATTCATCCCTCCTCGCTGTTTTGACCATACCTCACTACCTTTTAACCAAGAACTTTTAACCACTTACCCTTCAACTCTAATCTCATCCATGCAAGTGAGCAATGATATAATATAAATGTAGTAGCTTTAGATGCTTTTACACCTTCAAATTTGAGGGTGTTAATAAATAATTGTTGTTCTTTTCTAGTTTCTCACTGGGGAATTTCTCAACTTTGTCATCAAACTGGGTAAGTAAACTGGGTAAACACTGCCTGTTTCCCTCACTGTGTCTAAAAGTGCAAACTTTCTGCTTCTCAAACTCTCATGTTGCTGTACTCTTAGAACTTCCTTCCTGAAAGATTTTGCAGTGAAAAACTGTTGCATCTGCTGTTTCCCAACTTAGTAGCAGTTGGGAGCTCAACAAAGGGAGCTGACCAAGCATCCCTAACAGATTCCACTCTCCCTTCCTTCCTTCTGCTGTGAAATCTCAGAGGTTTAAAGCTGTGACTCTGTGCTTTACCCTTGTTCTTATCCTGACTCTTTCTGTGGGTTGATTTTTTTGTTAGGTTTTTTTTTCTTCTGTCTCCAAAAGCTCATTTCCAGCTTTATTTTACAGTAATTTTTCTGAAATGGTGGTGCCCAAGTAGAAGAATACCTCTCGTACTTCTCTCTCCTGCCTTGCTGTAATTAAACAGGAATTTTGTTGAAGGCTGTACAAGGCCAAAGCATTTTAAAATTGAATGATTTCTAGAAACAATATCAAGTTTAAATATAAAAAGCAATTAAAAACCAACAGAGTGGTGTAGGGAGACTGAAACAGACAGGAAATGTTTACATTAAATTATATCAGACATTTAGTGAAGAGAACTGTTTACTGTGGGTTTCCTGTACATATGCAAGCCCTGATGAATCTCACCAAGCTTTAGAGCCTGGTTTTATTTGTTGGGTTCAAAGTCAGAGGAATTGCATTCTTTTTTAGCCTTTAGATGAAGAGGTAACACTAAATATCCAAAAGTACATAGGAAGTCATGAGCTATGGACAGAGAGCAGGATGTTGCTACTCCCAAGGCTTGGCTCTGTATGAGTCTGCATTGGGGGATACTTACATATGAATAAATCTAGTAAGTGGGTGTAATTTTTACTGCAGTGTCATTCCTGTCTGCAAGCACAGTTACCTCTTTTCAATTATCCTGTTCTCACCTCCAAGAAGTGTTTGAAGCCTGGTTGATACTGGATTACACAGAAATCTGTATTGCTGCTTTTTTGGACACCTGTATTGAGGCTGCTTTAAGGAAAATGGTCTGCAAATGTCCTGATTTTGCTTTTGTCTGCCCAGGGTTTGGTGTTGCACAGACTAAAGCTGTAATGACTTCTGTTTCTGGCATTCCCATGGGACCTCCACGGCTTCCGCTTGTTGCTGCCTCCGGTGAGTTCATCGCGAAGGCCAAAGCCAAGCTGGACAGCATTGTGTGGCCTAATGGTGACTGATCATGGAGTCATGGAATCATTACATTGAGAAAGACCTCTAGGATCATCAGATCCAACCACTAACCTGACACTCCTGAGTCCACCACTAAGCCACATCCTCAAGTGCCACGTGTATGATGTTGTTCACTTCGTGTTGATCTGGAGGTTTCTTTTCTGGGATTCTCTGCCATGTAACACATCCCCCACGTGAAGGGCAGGATTTCTTTCAGGGAACTGGCAATGTGCCCAAGCCCCTTCCTGTCCGGGCTGGCTTTGCTGGGACACATGTGCCTGACATTTTACACTGCTCCCCTGGCGCTCTGCACGTTCCAGGACTAACTGGGATTGTTTAATAAAAAAATAGCAAATTTTTCCCAGTTGGAGGAGAAGGCTGATGACTTTTGCCTAGAAAGGAGGAAGATCTGTCTCTGATCACTCTCAGCTGGATGGTGTTTTGTCCTCTCCATGAGGACACTACATTGTGGATTTAAACAACAGTATGACACCATCAGGTTGCTCAGGCTGGTATCTGTTCATCAGAGTCACTGGGACATTGTCTGTGCATGTAAAATCCTGCTTCTGTCTGATCTCTGTGTTTCTACACCTTAATGCAAAATTAAAAAAAGAAGTATCTTTTGTGACAGCAAGTTTTGGATCACTAATAAGCAGGTATTTCTCCCATTTTTTTTTCCTTAGGACAGAAATAAAGCCACAATTGAGCTGTGCATCTCTATGTGGCAGTGCAGAAAGCTGTTATGCAGGTTAGGAAGGCATACAATCATAGAAACCTAGAATGGTTCCCACTCCATCTCTTGCCATGAGCAGGGACACCTTGCACTATCCCAGGTTGCTCCAAGCCCTGTCCAACCTGTTCTTGGACACTTCAGGGATGGAGCAGCCACAGCTTCTCTGGGAAACCTGTGCCAGGGCCTCACCACCCTCACAACAAATATTTTTCCTAATACCCCATCTGACCCTGCCCTCTGGCAGTGGGAAGCCATTCCCCCTTGTCCTGTCATGTCAGGCCTTGTTCCAAGTCCCTCTCCAGCTCTCTTGGAGCCCCTTTAGGCACTGGAAGAGGCTCTGAGGTGTCACCTGAGCCTCCTTTTCTCCAAGCTGAGCACCCCCAGCTCTCCCCAGCCTTTTCTCCAGAGCAGAGGGGCTCCGGCCTATGGAGCATCCTCAAGGCCTTCTCTGGGCTCGCTCCTGAAAGGGTTAAAAGCACTGTGTCTAGGCACACTTGGGCAAGAATAAGATACATCGTAACCAATATAGAAGCCAGCAAATATTAATCCACAAGCTAAAGACACAGAATTAAATTTGGCAAGAAATAGGGACCAAAACTTGCATAAAATGGACAAAACTAAATAAAACCAGCGAGGAATCGCTGAAACAGCTAACAAGAGACTGCCCATGCCTAGAGGAGAAAGGTGAGAAGGGCACGGCGAGGAAGACTCCAGCCTTCATCAAAAGAGCACCGGGGGGATGCGGAGCCTTCCTCAGTGCGGCCACCGGGGTGCACTGCGCCTGCGCCTCGCGTGTGCTAACGCTAATAATTCTAAGAAACAGTTTGCATAACCACACCTTTTCTAAGGAAAACAATGAATGTGCATTAAGTATAACAATATATTGTAATTTGCTATGTGCCTGTGTGCGCTGTTAGGAGGGGTGATCCCCGCGCACCCGGCGCGCTGGGTAAAGCAAATACCCACGGTTTGCACTTTGGCTTGGAAGTGTCTCGGCCCAGTTTGGGGCGATTCAGCAGCTCCATGTATTGATGTTGGGGCCACAGAGCCAGAGGCAGCTCTGTAGGTGGGGGTCTCACCAGAGCAAGTCACCTGATGTCAGATTGAAACGTGCATTTTGTTGTGTGCTGGCTGATGATCCCTGTGGCTGAAGCACAAGGGGTCCCATGCCCTGACTGCTCCTCATGAAAACAATGATTGCAGGGTGGCTGGAAGGAGGGAAGAGAGGTCTGGTTTGTACTGGGGCACTTGAGCGGTTTTGCCACAACCAGTGGCACCACGGATGACAACAACAGAATTGTGATGGATTGCGTCCAAAATTTCACTTTCAAAATTCTTCAGAGGCAAAGCCTCTCTCTCTTCTTGGATCTGGAAAAAAAAGTCCAGGACATTTCCAAAATCTCCAAAAATCAGCTTGTTCTGCTCCACATCTACACTTCTCCTCACTCTTCTACACTTTCTCCTTACCCAAAGGAAAAAATGGCAAAGACCAGGCCATAGTGTGTACTTTTTCCTGGCACAGCACAACTCACCCCCACATCCACCCCAGTGCAACATCCAGCACTTCTGAGAACGTGCTGTGTAGTGGTGCTGAAATCCAGCCTTTTACACTTGGTGTTACGTTCAAGCCCTTCTGGAAAATGAAGAGCCCAGGGCAAGGATGACAGTCACAGGACACACCCTTACCCTCTGTAACTCCTGATCCTGCTCCAGACGGTACAGGAAATCACTCCTCAGATCCGCGCTGATTTGCTCCGGAGTCAGCTGCAAGTGCAAGACATCATTTGGAGGCTTTTTGACCCCGCTGCTTTTCTACATCCTAACTTCAGGATCGGATCGGCCACACCAACATCGTGACTCCAAAGATCCCTAAGGGATCCTGCATAACTCCCTGAAATCAGTTATGCCTCTGAGCTCTTTTATTTCACTCGTTCCAGGGTATTAAACATTCATCTCCAAAGAAGTCTCTCAGAAAGACCGAGAGCACTGAAAATTAACGATTGTTTAAACTGAAACACTTTGACCGCTTGAGAAACACACACTCTTCAGCAGCCAGCCAAGAAGGTGGTTCAGACAGGAGCCCGCTGCAGCGGCGCCGGAGGGCGGGCGCGCTCCCTCCCGCCTCCCTCCCGGCCGCCGTCCGGCGCCGCGCAGGCGCTGCCGTGCGGAGCTGCCGCGGGCCCGGCGCCGGCTGGAGCGGGCTGCTGTGCGCCGATGCCCCCGGCCCGGCCATGGGGGACGTGAAGAACTACCTGTACGCCTGGTGCGGCAGGAGGAGGGTGATGCCGGCCTACGAGATCCGCGCCGCCGGCGGCCGCGGCCGGCAGACCTTCCTCTGCGAGGTGCGGGCCTGCCCCGCCGGGGGAGCGGGCTGGCCGCCCTGTGGGGGGCGGGCGGCCCTGAGGGGGCCTTAGGGCTGTGCCGGGGACACAGAGGGAACTGGCACCCTCCGGGGCCTGGGCGGGCTCTGGGCGTATTGCCGGGGCTCTGTCGGGTATCTGGGGGTTGTGCTGGGGGGCTGGAGGCCGCGACGGCAGCCTGGGCTCTCCCCGAGGGAGCTTGGACCGTGCCGCGAGCAAAGGTTCGCCTCTGGCAGGGCCAGGAGCTCTGCCAGGGAGTCTGAGGACCCTGTCAGAGGGAATGTGGGTCCCTGCCGGGGACCTGAGGTTCGTGACGGGGTCTGGGCTTTGCCGGGTGTCTCGGGGTGATGCCGAGCACCGTGCCGGGCCGGACCCGGGCTCTGCCCCAGGGAACGTGGGATCAGTGCCAGGGGTCTGGGAGCAGGTCTGGGGCTCGGTCAGAGGGAGCCTTGGGCTCTGCTGGGGGTGCTGCCGGGGTCTGGGCTCTGCCAGAAGGAGCCTGGGGTCAGCACTGAGAGTCTGGGGTCTGGACCCTGCCCGGCCTGGGTGGGAATCACTGGAAGTCAAGGGCTTGGAGAGGGCTGGGGCACTTTGAGCCGGAGTGTCCTGGCTGGGTGTTCACTGAGGTGTGAAAGGAGGGAAAAATCCCAAATGATGTTCTTACAGGGAAAACAGATTGGTTTACTTAAGGGTGGTGTGTGTCTCTGCCCTGTGTGCAACCCTTCTTGCAGTTGGTGAGGGGTATTGTATGTCACCTTCGCCAAGAGCTTTGGTCTGCTCTTGAGATGAAATGTGTTAAAGAATTCTTGTTTCAATGGTTGCTACTCTGCACAGCTCTAATAGTACCTTACTCCTGCCTCTAGATACTGGAGATGTGGGAGCTCTGAATTTAGGTTGGCTCTGACAGGGAGCTGGCACTAAGTGTGAGGCCATGTGTAGCACAGATCAGTTCATGAGTGATGCCATGGTTTTGCACTAAACGCCTTAAATTTGTCATTTTACCCTTTCTTCCTCTATTTGTCTTCTGTGTCAGTAAGAAAACAAAGATGCACAGTGTCATTAAAACAATTTTCAAAGTATTTTAACTGGTTAAGCAATACTCAGATGGAATGGTTGTATGAATAGATATATTCACACAATCATGCAATGGTTTGGGTTGGAAGCAACCTTAAAACTCATCCAGTCCCACTCCCTGCCATGGACAGATATCTTCCACTATCCCAAGTTGTTCCAAGAAAGACTACTCTGTTGTTGTGCTGCCATGCTCCCAGTTGTGTTTCGTCCCTGGAGTTCAGTCTGGTGCCCCTGTGCAGTGGTGAATGTGAGGGACTTCTTACACTACTGGAAGGCTGGGGCACATACAGAATATCATGGAATCATGGAATCATTTAAGTTGGAAAAAGCCTTTGAGATTATCAGGTCCAGCTGAATGTTGTAGGATGATCTGGTAAATACAGCTGCATGTTGTATTTACCAGATCAAATGATCCAAAGCTGAAGAGGCTGGAAAGAATTCAGCGTCCCTGTGAGGTGCAGCCTGGCTTTCAGAGTGCTGAGTACTCACACCTGACACTGTGAAGTCTTAGAGCCATGTTCTAATATATATATATAAAACCCTGTGTGCTTTAAAAATAACCAAAACCAAACCCAAAAATAATAATCAAAGATGTATCAAACCAGACATTGAAAATCTGGCATTTTTAAACCATAACTGCTTCAGGTGTGTAACAGGATCACTACTATTTATGATGTTTTGTGAACACTCAGCAGTGACTATCACTGAAAGGGTGAGGAAGAGGAGGGTAACTGTCATTGCAGCAAGTTTAGAGAAATAAATAAAGCATGAAGTTATGTGTTACCTGTTTAGAGGGAAGAATCTTCCTCTAGTGCTCCGTTGAGGATATATGAGTTTTCTGAGTGGAAGCAGCCTCCCTGCCCCATCAGCCTAGGTGGAACCCAATGGGAACAGGACTGCTATTTTGGTTTTAATGTGCCAGTTAGTTTCTTGGAGTTCAGCATTAAAATATTCACAGTTGTGTTACTATTGGGATAGCTTCTGAGTAGTAACTATTGCATATTTCCTGGGGGTAACTGTTGCATGATGTTGCCTGGGGTCTTTAAACTTCCTGAACAGTTTCTAGCTACATAGTAAAATGACTTGTTCTGCACCGATGTGCTGAGGCTTTCCTTCATTCCCTTCCCTAGCCAGCAGCAGGTGATAACCCCACTGGAGGACAAGAAGCAGCTAGAGATGTCACTGGTTCCAGTTCAGCTGTGGGGGGACCTCTTCCTCCACATTTGCTTTTAAAAAGTGAAGTAGGTAAGACTGAAAACGGTAATTTCTGTGTATTTGAATGTATTTTGGCAGTGTTTTCTCCTCCAAATTGCATCACTCTGCAGACAGGACACCGCAGTCATAGTTTTGAGGCAGAGGTGTGGATGACTGCACGAGATCTGAGGGACTGGTCATGGCCTGTCAAGATGGCCAGGCAATGCCTCTCCATTGTTAAGAACATGTTTTGGGGAGTTATTTTATTTTATT